GGGGGGGGGGGGGTGAATAGATTTTCGGATCGCCGGATTTCACAGAAAAAATTGTTCGGATTTCGGATCTGGCGAATATTTTACACGGGTTTGCGGATCTTATTAATACAGCGGTTGCGGATTTATCTAATATTTTGGCTCGGATTGTGGATTAAGCTTGCAATTTAGTTCGTATACTGGATTCAAATTTAGAAAAGACCATTGTCGGATCGCGGATTTTGCTTCAATCATTGGCGGATCGGCGGTACGTGATTTGCATACCCCTTTCACCTTGTAAAGGTAATTTAATTCCGACCTTATAAAGACTCCATATTTTAAAAAAATTTTCCCAGTTCGTTTTGTTTACATTTTTTTACAAATGCTTTGTTTACATTTTGAACTGCTATGTTTATAAATTATGATATACTAACTGAATATCTAACACTTGTTCGTACGGGAACATAAAGTCAATCCCGCGCGTGAAACTGATATTTACTCAGTTAAACACTGATCGAGTCCGAGGGGTAAGGGAAAGTACATTTATTATGCCGAGGGGGAAGAAAATGTAAAGAGGGGGGGGGGGCGAAATATTTTCCGGCATTAAAGGGGGGGAGGCTCTGAAAGTGACTGAAGGGGAGGGGGTCTACTTTTCAAAGTTTTGGTCAAGCAGGGGCCTGGAGTGTTCACTCCCACCATAGTTAATAGAATAGATGGAAACCATTAGAATAACATTATAACTCATCATCTATGTTAGTACGCAATAACATAGGTTACCGTGTATAATCATAATTAAATACAATACAATTCATAAATCGCAACTATTCACACATCTGATCTTTTACCGTCACGTGTGTATTGTATTTTTGCCCGACTAACCAATAGCAATGTTTTAGGAAAGTCACCTATCCGTGACTCAAACAAACATATGGTAAATTGAAAATTGCTATTGGCGGACATGGCAAAAATATAATACATACGCGACGGTGAAGGAATATATTTATGATAAACGTGGACTAACATAGATAAGGAGTTATATTGCTATTCTAACGATTTCCAAACCATCTATTCTATATTAACTGGCATGGGGGAGCTCCACATGGAATACGTAAAAAAAGGCTGCAACACGCCTGTCAAAAATGCATGCAAAAGCACCAATATGCTTCAACTTCTGAAGTTTTCATTCTGTTTCTACCAAATTTTCCATGAATATAGAACATATCGTTCTTACAAATCGCATGTTCTTTGTTTTTGGAATTGCTACTTTTTGGCGGGTAAATTACGTCACAAACTTGGCGCCAAAAAATAAAAACTAAGCTATTGGTGATTTTACTGAACCATTTAGTAGAGCAGACCAAGGGTACTTTAATTAATTAAAACTGCGGAAATCTGTTTTTAAATACAACCATTTTTTTGGAACTGATGTAGCGATACAAATGTCGAAAAATCCGGCATATTGTTACTAAAAATAAAACAAATTATATCTATATGTCTATGATAAGAGATAATTGTACTCTTTCGATTCCAAATTCTGGGGGACATTGAAAATTTTGAAAACTTTGAGGGGGCATCGAAACTTTACCAATACCTCAACAGGGGCCCTGTAAAAATACAAACTTTTTTCTTTCTTCATTCTCCCTCGGCGTAATAAATGTACTTACCCTAAATTACTCTGAACAAAGCGTACGAAGGTTTTTGGGATTAGAAAATCCCGGCAATTTTTCCGCTCGGGATTCTGGGATTTTTTTGCCAAAATTTAAGGGATTTTCGGATTTTTTTCCGATTCTTTTCGAAATATTTTCCCTTATTTTTTTTCGCCGAACTTTTCCCGTAATTTTTTGCGACACATAATCCGTCGAATTATTTTTAAAACGAAGTAGATCAACGAAAAGCATTTTCACGCCAATTCACGATTTACTATATTTTCAAATTTGATGGGATTTCTCGATATTGCAATAATTTTAAGGATTTTATTGTTTTTTTCCAAGTATTTCATTCAATTTTTAGAGATTTTTTTGGGATTTTGGGATTCTAGGATTTAGTTACCCTGGATTCCAGAGCCTTCGACAGTAAATAATAAATTGAAATGTCGCGAAGGCTCTGGTTCAACGGGGCGATTCTTTGATTAAGCCGCGCCAATCACAAAACAGAATTAGTGGTTTTAGTATTAGTGGTTTTAGATTCTGTACTAAAACCACTAATTCTGTTTTGTGATTGGCGCGGCTTAATCAAAGAATCGCCCCGTTGAACCAGAGCCTTCGCGACATTTCAATTTATTATTTACTGTCGAAGGCTCTGGAATCCAGGGTAGGATTTAGTAAGATTTTGGGATTTTTCCAAAGATCGTTTTAGCTTTTTGATGAAGTGTATGAAGATTTTCAGAGTAACTTACCCCTCGATCGAGTCAGTTCCCACAATTGCCACAAATATTTCTTAAAATCCTTCAAAACCTGATGCTATTGCTAATGTACATTATGGTTCATAATTTCTCTTATGCGTTCGTCTGCCGACATGTGTCTGTCCTTGCGTCATGTCTATACTTGTCATCCGACCTTGGATCCGCGTCATCTGTAGAAGTGAGAAAAGAAAAGTTGTGGTGACCAGCATTAAAGCATTTCCATAAAAGTCCCGGACAGGACCGAAGCCATGCAGTTGTAGACGATTGACTTAAAGCCCCGCGGATCAAGCAAGGTTGAGGGCATTGGCATATACGGGGGGATTAGGATGGCGTAAAGAAATTTACCCGACTTTTTGCATTTTGCCAGACTCATCCCGGCATACTAAATTTTCATGCAAAATTTTCCAGAATTCTTGTCACCTTACACATTACTTGCATTTTAATTTCGACTATTTCCCTAGTACTTATTTCTTTATTTTCAGTTTATTTCCCCATCTTCTTGCCCAACTTATGTTTAAATTTGCCCAACTTCAATATTTCTGGAAATGAGGTATATGTTTACGGATGAGAGTGTAAACCTACTTATATATACCGGGTGGCGCAAAAAAAAGTTAACCTCTTTGATTTGTTTTAACTTAAATGCTAAAAGAGCTATTACACGTGAACTACGTGCATTGCATTCAGTATTGTCTAACTTAAATTTTGATATACGCCCTGTGCATTTTCGTGCGATATTGACCGAGAGGGCTGCGTTTAAACTTGAGTAAGCATTTTTGGAAGTGTCGAGAATTAGCCAAAAACGGCCTATCAAATATTTAATACAGCAATAACCTGTGCTTAGGCGAACTATAGTCAGAAAGTACACGTTCGTTGTCAGAGACCTGCCCAACGCCGCCGGTATAACCTCACGAGCATTATTTACCCTTGCATGTTCTAAAAATATCGAAACTCTTTGGTCTTTCGTTAAACGAGGCGTATTTATAAAAAAACACTTGACGTTTCTTTCTTGAAACATTAGAATTTGATTCCCCAGAATCATTGAATATTTATAGAATAAATCTTTTAGTCAAAATCGTTTCATAATTTAATTTTCATGCATTCCCAAAGATCTTAAACAAAAATAAAAGAGCACATCGATCCAATAAAGATTTTTAATTTAAACTTCACTTCATTGAAAATAATATTTACGGTAAAATGGTAACGGTTATCAATTAGTTTAACAAGCCGTTTTTAGCTAATTCTCAACATTTCCCAAAATGTTTATTCAAGTTTAAACGCAGCTCTCTCGGTCAATATTGCACGAAATTGCACGGGGCGTATATCAAAATTTAAGTCAGACAATACTAAATGCAATGCACGTAGTTTAGGTGTAATAGCTCTTTTAGTCTTTTAGTTAAATTAAATCAAACAGGTTAACTTTTTTTTGCGCCACCCGGTATATATATATATATATATATATATATATATATATATATATATATATATATATATATATATATATATATATATATATATATATATATATATATATATATATATATATATATATATATATATATAGGTTTATGTATACGAGACGCGAAGAGTGCTCAATACCATAAAAATAAAGCAAATATAGAATTTCGCTTACCTCAAAATTCCGCAACAGTCTGTTTCATCAGTAAAGAATCATCAGGTGGTACGATGATTTTTTACTGATGAAACAGACTGTTGCGGAATTTTGAGGTAAGCGAAATTATATATATATATATATATATATATATATATATATATATATATATATATATATATATATATATATTTATATATACTGTACATTGTATACATTGCATGTAATCATATATACTGTACATATATACTGCACTGGGTAACGATATTCGTAATGCACCAACTCTTCAAAAATTCCATGCAATCCAAATTAAAATATTTTTTATTCTCTCGCCTATATAATATATATTTAATATACTTTGATGTCTAACCCACCGAGATATGCCTTATTTAGTTCATTCTATCTGACTACTAGCACACCTGCATGTGAATTCAATATTTTAATGCTTATTATAAATGACTAGGAAGCCCACAACTCAATTAGCCTTATAGTTTCTACTTGGGCTTCCTCGTCACATGTATTTTGTCATACTTAATGTACGTTTCTTTTGTAAATAATTCCTTTTTGTAGCAATTTCTTAAATTGAAATTGAAAAAGTGGATGCCTTATTGAACGGTGTACCAAATTAGAGGTTGTATGCTTGTGGTAATGCTGCAAATTTTCTGCAGTAAGTTTATTTATTAAAGAATTAGTCAGGACGTTTTCAGATCATGAAGATTATACTAAATGGGCAATTCAGTGTTGCATATTAGCCTAATTTGAAGCGATTTGATGTAATTTGTCTTTTATTGTAGTGTCAATTTGTGAAGTTTACGTGGGCCCCAACGATGAGTTCTAAGCTCTAGGGGCAAATGTAAAGATCTAAATATTGTTTAAGTAAAGAGTAATTACGTTATATAATGCATGTGCTAAATATTAATCGAATTATTCATCTTAAATTAATGGCTTGTTAATTCATTAACCTGCATGTACTTTATAAACAAACTTCCTTAATCTTATTTATAGACTAGTTGATATAATGACGTGTAAATCACGTGTTAATTGCCGTTAACATCGAAACGTCTTTAAAATTTATGTAATTTCTATAATGTTAAAGTGGAAGTCAAGTCCGTTCTGCGCATCGGTTCTGCTCATAACAATGTGAGGACCCTCTAATGTGAAAATTGCCCAAATTTCGAATGTTTCGAATTTTTCTGAACATAAACTCTATTTCATATTCATTTAGAAGCATACCAAAATAGTGTTAGATATTCAGACAGTACATCATATTTTAAAAGCTACAGCAGTTCAAAATGTAAACAAACAGTTTGTTTACATTACGGACTTGACTTCCACTTTAATAAATCCTTTATCAGTCGCTCACTTTTATAATGAGAAGCACATTTTCAAGTTAAATTAGCCACTTTTATTCCCGACGATTGTGGAGCTGAAAGTACCGATAGAATAATAAGAATTAAGTTTTTCATATCATTTGAGAAGAGCTCTGAAATACGCAAGAATCGTGGAACATGCACCAGTAAACAAACTCGATCCTCTTCCTTCGTACAAAGGATGTGCGATGCAATTCGGCAAACCAATAGTATACGAGTGAAAAGCCACGAAACATGAGTTTGGTATATATGTGTATATAATAATGTTTGTGTTATTCTAAGAAATTAATGAATTGTATGTTTACAGACTTACAGTAAAAAAAACGATATCTTGATCTCAAGTGAAAGTTGCCAGGTATGATGTCGCGCATTAATGCATGAATTTTGTATAGCCTGGAAATCCAAATTTTGTAGTGATGACGTCACCTGGTTAGACCCCACATGCATGCAAGAAGGACGGCAACATAAAAGAGACAAACTTTGCTTTTATACCAAACAGGCGCCCGAGGTCATGAACTCAATGACCACCTAGGAATATGCTGCACCAGTGTGGCAATAGATGTATTCGCGGCAGGACAATTTGAATTGTCTGATTGGCTTGAAATCAGTTGAGAAAAGCTGGAAGCCCTACAGTTAGCTGGGATTGATAATCTAGCCGATAGAAGAAATATCATATATGTGAAAAATACATGAACAAAATGAAAAACACCGATCACCCTTTGCATGCGTTACTATACAAACATACGCTGATCAAAACTGCAAGCATCCGCTTAGAGATAAAGCCGAAGAACTTCTCTTGTGTCAAAATTTCAACAGTTGAACTAAAAAAGTAGACAATTTTTTACCTGCTTTAAATACTATTTTTGATATTTCTCTTAAATAACTAACACCACTTATTATGCACTAGTTAGTGTAAATAGAGACTTAATTATATTTTAGTCTTAGATAGATTGTATCCCTATAATTGGATTTATATTACGATCCGTAAATACATTTTTGAGATAAATAATAATGTAATAGTTATACACACTAAGCTACATCAACAAAGTTTTACGACGTGTCACTGATTCTGTTTTTGGCTAATGTTTTTGCAATAATCTTTAAATGTATCGCATGAGATTCGAATTGCTTCAGGTAAAGAATTAAACACTTGACCTGCTTCATCTTGAAAAGTTTCAGTGATAATAAGGGCTAGCGCTACTAAACGCCGGGCAGATGATGATCGTAATGTTCTTATATAGGAATATATTCCTAAAATTTTAAGTATGAAGGCCAGTCATCGCAATTCATTGCTTTGTATGCTAATTTGGCAAGATGATAATTCGTTCCAAAATTGGAAGCCAACCGAGAGACATGACATCAGTGAATCTAGCGTACCTATTAAATACAAAGCCAGCAGCAGCGAACTGCACTCGTTGTAAGCGTTTTAATGGGTATTCTGGTGCTGGACTAGACACGACATCGTTGTAATCAATTTTTGATAGCACCATACACTTCGCGAGTTGCTTCCGAATTTTAAATGGTGCCAAATGTTTCAATTTTCTCAACTTCATCATTCCATTTTGAATTTGGTGATGCAATACCAACAAAAGCCGCACATTTAGTTCTTTTAAGTTCAATTCCATTAACATGAACAGAACGATCTTCATCGAGAAAAGCATGACTTTTGTTTTATTGGGGTTAAGAACAAGGTTATTACAACTAGACCAGGTGGAAGGTTTATCTAGATTGGATTGAATTTTCTCTTCACATGACTTTATGTCAGCTGGCTTACAATGTGCATAGATAGTAGTGTCATCGGATACTGATGTGAAGATATAGAATTGCCAAGGTTTTCAGAGAGATGATTGACATATAGGTTGAAGAGAACAGGACCAAGTATAGACCCTTGTGGAACTCCAAAACAAACGTTAGATGTGTTTGACACTGCGTCGTCTATCTGAACAAACTGTCGTCGACCAGTCGGATAGCTTGTGACCCATTTGAGATATTTTTTGGAGAAACCTTGTGAATGGAGTTTTCTTAAGATGGTAAAATACGACACAGTATCGAACGAACGCTTTCGAGAAATCTGCTAGAAGTGAACAGCTATCGTGACTTCACCTCTTTTCATAGCTCGCTGAATATCATCTCGCATTGCCAACATACCTGTCGTATTTGTTGTGACCTTTGCGGTAAGTACTAATGGATTGATATCGATTAAGTACTCCAGTGGTTGTATTGGTTACGAAATCAGACAGTTGGCGACGAACGAGTCGTTCAAAGAATTTGGATAGACTTGGAAGAATGGAAATAGGACGGAGATTATTATTCGATAATATATATACTAAACTTTTGAAATTTTGCCCGAATTTTTATGAATGATTAAAACCCTAGCCTTAACCTACCCCTGCTACAAGTTTGTTTCTAAACCAATCTTGAAGAAAAAAGTTTTGACGAAATGTCAATCTGAGGTCAGCGAACTAACTTCTTCCCTAAAAATCTCCCCAACTTTGTTCCGCAAACTTCGCTAATTTGTTGCAACGTTCAAAAGTTCATAATGAAATTCATGCTTGTGCATGAATTGTGCATGCGAGTCAGTAAACAAAGCATCTGTTTGGCTACTAAATCAAACCAGCCAATCAAATGCTCAGTTTACAAACCAATTTGTAAATTTTATTATAAATAATAGACCATAATAAGTCTTGTTTTAAAGTTCATAATGAATTGACAAGCAAGTTAACTTTGTAAACAAAGTCTCTAATTGCATGGCTACTAAACAGTCAAACCAGCCAATCAAGAGTGAAATCTCTAAGAATTTTACCTTCTAAACTTCACAAGTTTCATTTCAACTGAATGTGTCAGAGAATGGAGGCAATTTCTTCCTGGAATTAGTCCTTTCCATTTTTTTTGTTTTAGCTTTGAAGCACGCTCTTCGGCAACCAGTTCTGAAGAACCCATCAATGTGAGGAACAAGCGTTGAAAAGAAAATCGCAAAACAAACCAACATGAAGAGATTAGAAACAAACCAAAAATTCATTAATTTCAACTCCCGTTAAACTTCTGAAGAATTTTTGAAATTAGCAGTAATAGCCAATACTAGGCTGTTGAGTAGGAAGTATAGATTTTGAACATGCCGAATTTGAAGTTTTCGCAAGCAGCTTTATACATCAGCGATTATAGATTATCGAATGCTTATGATTAAATGTGATGTAAAGTTCGTAATGTAAACAAACGCTTTATTTACATTTTGAACTTATAGTGCTACAGTTGTAAAATATGATCAGATAGATAATATACAGACTAGAGATTCAATTCAAGAAAGTTCGAAAGGTGCGAAATATTAACAACATCCCAATGCCATGGCCGGGTCCCGACGACCATTGGAATGTAGGCCTACGGACTTTACATCACCTCAGTTAAATTATAACCCGCTCAGCAGTACCTATCACAAACATTTCGGATCAATTCAATTAAGCTGTGAGCAAAATTATTTGTTGTTTGGTATATAGATTATAGTACAACGTTTTATTTTGAGTACTTGTCGTTTCTGCTATGGTCAGATGCTCTATCGTAGTGTTTGTGTTCTTTTTCGTATTTAACTTTGTAATAAAAAAAAACAAACTGTGTTTGTTTTCATGTCAACCTTGATAAGCCTTTTGGAGCACACATAACGTTTATATAAAAAACAAAAAAAAATTATGATTTTTTCTGTATTGGTGTAATGTACAAAAAAATTAGTTGTTTTATTCAATCACGTCGTTATAGACCTTGTTACACTGAGCACGCAATTCCTTAAGTCAATTGAAGTAAAAAGTAAGTATGAAAAAAAAACACGATTAAGTATTAGGTCCACAAAGTCGGAAGGGTTATCCCACTTTCGGTAACGTCAAATCTTGAAGTACCTGCGAAAAGCGGGAGTTGGCGCATGTTTGCTTGACTGAAAAGCCCGCCTAGGATGAACAATTATATAAAGAATGCTAATGAAGTTGAGTTTTATCAGGCACAAAGTCACTCCACGTGTTATACTATGGCGGCTGACACGATTTGCCACTAGGCTTATTTTTTTCATTGGATATCCCACTTAGAAATCTTGAAGTACCTGCGAAAAGCAGAAGTTGGCGTGCATGTTTGCACGTCATTGAAAAGCCTGCTTTGCTGACGCAAAATAACGCTCTTTGTATGTTTGACAAATAAAATTTTGCTTTGTCGGATAATATAAACGTCCGTTTGACGTCACAACTGTGACCTACCCAGTTTTTCGTCTGACCGTAAGCACGGTTTTTCTGCATGTGGGGAATTCAAGTTTCCATGCATGCATGCATAAGGCCGATTACAGACGAGCAAGTTTTTTTATCGGACCGAAGTCTGCATATAGGAAATTCGAACTTTGCCAATTTTTACTATTAGTACACCTGTTCAAAAACTACACATAAAATGCACATAAAAATCTCACAACTTGTCAACAAGATGTGTTCGCAACAAGCTTCTAAGAAGCTTGTAACAATAAGTTGTAACAATTCTGCTAGCTTTTTGACCAAATCTGCTTGGCGATGTCTCTTTTTAGAAATAACGTCACAAACTACAAGTAAATAATAAATATTACTCACCCCTATAGCCAAAAAGTTACAAAAGATACATTCATTTGTCACACATGTCCTTTACTACTTTTAGCTGTTGACATATAAGTTTAATAACTCCTTGTACAATGTTCTGCAGACTAACGTTTTATATTTTTCTTTGGAAACACCATTTGCCTCCTGACAAATCGCAAAATGATCAGGATAGTGACTATGATTGATTGATTAATCGATTGATTGATTTACATATTGTATTTACTCGCTCAAAATTTTATTCACTATGCAATGACAGCTAGAAATGTTCACGATTATCTCTCATATATAAGTAAGAGCGTGAAAATTATTTGCATCGGGCATTACAAGCCATAAACTCTTTACTCTAAGCGTAGTAATCCACTTATATCAAGTATTCTGGTTGCGACGAATGGTAAAGAATTAGAAAAAGGAATAATAATTTATCAAAGAGATTATTCGGATATTCACGCAGTCAATTGACGCAACTCGTAACAGACGAACGTCGCCATTTTAGGGGCACCCAAAAATGGACGACCAAGCGCGCAATGCATTACCCTGAGACTGATTCTTTAAGTACTATTTAAAACACGAGTATATAGGAGTGCTTTATCAGATATAAAACGCGAGGCGCAGCCGAGTCAGAAAAGCACGAAACATGAATTTTGGTATGTGTATATAATAATGTTTGTGTTATTCTAAGAAGTTAATGAATTGTATCTTTACAGTAAAAGAAAACGATATCTTGATCTCACGTGAAAGTTGCCAGGTATGATGTCGTGCATTAATGCATGAATTTTGTATAGCCTGGAAATCCAAATTTTGTAGTGATGACGTCACCTGGTTAGATCCCACATGCATGCAGGAAGGACGGCAACAAAAAAGAGACAAGCTTTGCTTTTATACCAAACAGGCGCCCGAGGTCATGAACGGGACAATGAGCACCTTGGAATATACTGCACCAGTGTGGTAATAGATATCAGGACATTTGTTAACCTGATACTCAGGGTTTTCAAAATGATCATTCAAAATGATCATTCATTAACAAAACATTTCAGAAATTTTTACTAATCATGTATTTTTTTGAGTAACAAAGATGTTCACAATTATAACACAAGAAACGCAATTCATTGCTACACAAAAATTGTAATAGAACAAATTATAGAAAACATATACTCAAAAGGAATCGATGCATGATACACTTCCGCTCAGCTCAAAACCCGCTTTCGGGGGGCTTAGCGGAAGTGAAAACTCAGGGGAGTATCAGGTTGGACATTTGTCTGATTGACTTGAAATCAATTGAGAAAAGCTGGAAGCTCTACAATTAGTTGGTATTGATAATCTAGCCGATACAAGAAACAATACATGATTTTTTTTACCTTTTTATTACTTTTTTACCTTTAGAAGATTTTTTTTATAGAAGAAATTTATAAGAGAACTGTTTAACAGTGCGAAAAATTTAAATCGGACAAGTAGAGAAATGCAAAAAACAGTATTATGGGAAAGCGAGGCAATTATGAGAAAAATATTATCTGGACTTTTAACACGAGTTGTCTTCTGATAATAGCTGACAAACATTGACAGCTAATGCTCTTCGCTTATGGAAGGGCACTGGCCAACGTTACAATATGCTTTTGGATTAATATAATTAGGGTTTTATGAATTGTAGTATTTACTAGAGGCATCATTGTATTGTTGGTTAATTCGAAAATAATAATATTTTATTTTTAGACAACAGAAATCTTTATTAATAACATGATAATTTTTTTACAAATATCACATTAGACTTTCAATTAAATCAGGAAAATAGAGAAACAGTTCACTATATTAGACAGATAGGTCCATTCTCGACACTTCATATCGATAGTAGCTAATAAAAATTCAGTAAGTCTGGGTTGTTCAAGGGGTTGCAGTAAATGTAGAATGTTGCTCTCAGAGCTACCTCCATACATTTTTTAATAATACGTTCATCGTTCATTTCAAGTGTTCGTAATAATCTACGAAATCTGTCAATATCTTTCGATATAATAATAATAACAGTAACAGTAACAGTAACAGCAGCAGTAGCAACAGTCACAGTAACAGTAACAGTAACAGTAACAGTAACAGTAACAGTAACAGTAACAGTAACAGTAACAGTAACAATAACAATAACAATAACAATAACAATAATAATAATAACAGTAATAATAACAGTAATAATAATTACAGTTTCCTAATTATTGCACATAAATTTATATCCACTATTTTTTCGGCTGGAAACACTTTAACTAGTGCTTAAAAGGTACGGATAGCAGCGCGCCACTGCCTACACAGATACCAAAACGTGTAGTTGCGGTTAATTTAAATGCAGATTTATTGTCGATTTCAACTTACTCACTAAAATGTTGGAAGAGGTTATTTTGCTGGCCTCAGAGTCACAAACGTGACAAAGCAACGGTTTTACTAACACTAATTGCGGGAACCACTGAGTATTTTCATAAAATACAATACAACGGTAACTCCGAATAAAGTAAGCATTTTGATTCAACGTTTCGACTTTATTTAGTCATCATGATGACCAAATAAAGTCGAAACGTTGAATCAAAATGCTTACTTTATTCGGAGTTACTAACACTAACCCTATTCCAAATACTAATTCTAATCCTAACCCTAATCTTAACCCTACTCCAAGTTTGTTTCTAAACCAGTCTTGAAGAAAAACGTTTTGACGAAATGTCATTCTGAGGTCAGCGAACTAACCTTTCCTTAAAATGTTCCGAACTTCGCAAATTCGTTGCAAAGTTCAAAAGTTCATAATGAAATTCAGAAGCAGGTGTGAAATAATGAAATTCACAATGAAATAATGAAGTTCATAATGAAATTCACAAGCAGGTGTGTGCGATGAAATTCACAAGCCTCTGATTGGCTACTAAATCTCAAACCATGCAGCCAATCAAGAGTCAAATCTTACTGTCGTTCCAATTGAAGTGTCCCTCAAATATTGATTCAATACATTACTTCGGGCTGACCAATTCATTTGATCAAGTTCCTCGAAATATTGATACACTTCCTAGTATAATTGTAAACTTCCTGTTGAATAGTTTGAATGCACCAATCACCTTTGTTGTTTGTGCAACTAACCAATCATAAATAGAAAGGAAGTGACCAGAAATGATCAAATTCTTGGAATTGGCTCTTTCACAGGAGTGTATGAATATCTCGAGGAACTTGATAAATGAATTTGTCAGCCTGAGGTAATGTATAGAATCAATATTTGAGGAACACTTCAATTGGAACGACAGTAATAAGGTCTCTTTACCTTCTATTTCTTCACGATTCTCATTTCAAGTGAATGTGTCAGAAAGTCGAGGTAATTTCTTCCAGGAATTAGTTCTTTCCATTTTTTTCGTTTTAGCCTTGAAGCACGCTCTGCGGCAACCAGCTCTGGAGAAGCCATCACAACGTTGTACAAACATTGAAAAGAAAATAGCAAAACAAACCAACATCATGAAGAGGTTGGAAAGAAACGAAAAATTCATTAATTTCGACTCCCGTTAAACTTTTGAAGTATTTTTGAAATTAGCTGTAATAGCTACCAATACTAGGCGGAGTCGGAAGTATAGGTGTGTCACACATGCAGTTTGAAGTTTTAGGTAAAATGCTAATTTTCATCAGTTCAATTTTATAGTATGTATCTAAATGAATCCAATTAGCATTCACAATGACGAATATCCGCCATTTTTGGGTGGCATCTAATTCTCGTTAACCAATATGCAAGCAATTTGAAACAATGTGAAAAGCAATTTTTCAAAAATAAACTAACCATTTACATTTACATTTACATTTACCATCATTCGTCCAAAAAATTATAAAAAGTCGCTGTTATGTGGACTTATCTCGCAGACTTCGGCTGAAAAGCCACCCACTAAAAATGGCGGCGTGAGAAAGGCTAATTGGCTCTAAATATGCATGTAATTACACAAATAACATACCAGGTTTTAAGCGTGCTTAACTTTGCGTTTTGCGCGGTCAACACCAGCAATTAAGTGTGCCTCGAAGGTGATCAATTGATAGATTCAAGTACATTTAATTAGCACAAGCAAACATGATTCAAGCGCTAGTGCAGTGACCGCGACTTAATATAATTAAAGGTAAGCGGTTTGGAAGATTTAAATGAGTTTAGGTTTTTGTCGAGGGTCAAGTGTCAAGGTTGGGAGGTCGAGTGGCGAGGATCCAATGTCGAGGGTGAGGGTAAAAAGTCGAGGGTGCATGATGGTAAACAGTCGAGGGTCGAGGGTAAAAAGTCGAGGGTCATCGAGGGTCGAAATTTGCGGGCAAAATAACTTGTTTAATGTTGTATGTAGGCAGAACTATATATTAACTTTTAAAAGATACTACCTTGCGTAAATTTTCTAAGCGGTTATTTTCTAAGCCCCTTCACGCTCGCAAGTTAACATGTTTACGTATACTAGTTAACATGAGCAGCCGATCTTTTCTGATATAAAAACTCGAGCCGACGACGAGAGTTTGTATATCAGATAAAGATCGCCGGATGCGAATGTTTTATAAATGTACTTAGAAAACGACCCATCTTATGAGTTCTGATTGGCGAAGCAATTTTAAAAATTAACATTGTCTAAGCCGAGAAAATCAATGAAAGCTGAAATTTATGTAAATCAGGAAAAATCCTTATCCGATTTACAAACATTGATTAAACATTAATTTCTTTTGTAAATTCCTTATGAATTGTTAATGAGTTTTCAGTTAAATCGTACTTAAAAAACGACCCATCTTTTGAGTTCATTGGCGAAGTAATTTTAAAAATAAACATTGTCTAAACCGAGAAAATCAAAGCTGAAGTTTATGTAAATCAGGACAAATCTTTATCCGATTTACAAACATTGATTAAACATTCTTTTCTTTTGAATTTTCTTCATGAATTATTAATGAGTTTTTTAAGTCTAATATGAGAACGATCTCTTTGCTTTCTTATCAAATTAACGTAACAGCATAGATTATCGGGCAGCTGTAATCCTCAAGCCAGTAATGGCAATATATTAAGGCAAAATATATTACCAATAGAAAGTTATGATAAAAAACTTTTTTTTTAAAAAAACCCTGTGTTTTCTGCTAGATCTGAGTACGGTTAGCGCGGTTTCAAGAAACCAATTAACGCTAAGTGATTCAGTCAATATTACTCGTCAGGCACGGCCAAACATTGGCCAACCTCGCGGCAAGCAAGAGTCTCCACACCTGTGGCGGGACGGAGACGATGTGAGGTTGAACATGCATTGCCATTGGCCTGTTTATGAAATTATGCTACGTTTAGAAAGTCTTTTATTCTTTTAAGTTAATATTTATAATAAATGCTCTTTGACTTTGCTTTTTTGGAAAACTCCGCCTTTTTATCTAAAAATGCCTTAATCAAAACTGGCCTGGAGACATTACACGCTAGAAGGGTATTAAGAAGACATGTTGCGTGCGTGAAACTTTTGAACCAGATCCTAGACGACCCTACCCTGGATTCCAGAGCCTTCAGTAAATAATAAATTGAAACGTCGTGAAGGCTCTGGATCAACAGGAGGATTCTTTGAAACCGCGCCAATCACAAAACAGAATTAGTGATTTTAGTACAGAATCTGTAATCAAAGAATCCTCCCGTTGAACCAGAGCCTTCGCGACGTTTCAATTTATTATTTACTGAAGGCTCTGGAATCCAGGGTAAGACGACCCAAACCATTAACTTAATGAGTTAGTTTCTAGACCAAATTCTCCCTTAGCCTAATTCATGATTTACATAAGGAGAAAAACATTTCTACTCCAAAGTTTTCTACAGACCGTTTTATAAACTCTTTTATTTCGACTTTTTCATGACTCTCGAATTTTTACCTTCGACAGTCTCAATTTTTTACCCTCACCCTCGACATTGGACCCTCGACACTCGACAAAAACCTAAACTCTGTTTAAATCGTGCTATAAATGCGCAACCCAAGTGGATTAGATATTTTAACCAATAAAATTTCAGTTCAGAGGCAAAGAGACAGTCAATTGAACATGTCATTTTGATTGAGACAAGAGAGCTAGTTTCAAAATACCTCACGTATAACAAAAAATAGCAATAGCTCAGAATTAAATTAAATACATGATGCAACCACAAATTTTTCCTTTAAGTTATTTTTACTATAAACGGCATGCAAAGCTCTTAAGAAAACATTTGCAACGTATAACCTGTTTTCCGCTTGACTCTATAAGCTGCACGTTTTCGCTGCAGGGAATTCAAGTTTGCTCGTGTGACAGGGCCACCATGTATACGGACCAAAGTTTTCGAAGTTTTCGTAAGTTTTGTTTGCTTGTCTGTGTATAGGAAATTTGCCAATTTTTACTATATATTTGTTCAAAAACTACGCATGCACATAAAAATATCACAACTTGTCAACAAGATCTTTTCGCAACAAGCTTCTATCAAGCTTGTAACAATAAGTTGTAACAATTCTGCTATTTTATCAAGTTGCTACGCTCACAACCTGTTGACAAATTGTTGAATTGGAGGACGATAATAAGTTGTTAGAACAAGTCAGTTGAGTTCAACAGCCTTGTAGCAAGTTGCCATCAAGCCTTTGCCTGCTCGCGCCATGTAACAAGCTGGGAACAAGCAGTATGAACACATCTTGTTGACAAGTTGTTGGAATAGCATGCAATTATAGCTTCTGGAGTTTCGTTACAACTTGTGCATTTTTACGTGTCTAGTCGAGGGGTAAATTACTCTGAAAAAAGCGTACGAGGATTTTTGTGACTAGAAAATCCCGGCAAATTTTCTCGGGATTCTGGGATTTTTTTCCCAAATTTGAGGGATTTTGGGATTTTTTTCAGCTGATTTTTTCGAAATATTTTCCCTTATTTTTTTCACCGAACTTTTTCCGACATTTTTTGCGACATATAATCCGTTGAATTATTTTTAAAACGAAGTAAATCAACAAAGGGCATTTTCACGTCAATTCAAAATTCAATTTAAATGTTTAAATTTGATGGGATTTCTCAATATTGCAATAATTTTGAGGATTTTATTGGGCCTTTTCCAAGTATTTTATGCAATTTTTAGAGATTTCTTGGGATTCTGGGATTTAGTAAGATTTGGGGATTTTTCCAAAGATTTTTTTGGGATTCTTGATGAAGTGTACGAATATTTTCAGAGTACTTTACCCCTCGTGTGTAGTATACTAGCTTTTGCATGAACAAGTGCACTTATCACAGAAAAATTGGCAGAGTACAAATCTTGTTCGTCTGAATTTTTTCATACTAAACTATATTATTTGTTTTTTCGTTGTGGAGCTGAAGTCTAAAACAAACTAACTCTATTGACACTGGGGAATGTCCAAAAGCGGGGAGGTCATTTCCTATCCACTTTTTTCCCCATCTAAATCCCATTTACAAGCAATTTTTAAACAAATCAGCTTGGCAAGATCTCTCTTTAGAAATAACGTCACAAACTAGCCTACAAGTAATATTATTAAATAGTTACCCACCCCTGGCCAAAAACGATACAAACGGATACCATTCCGTTGCCACACATGCCCTTTACCACTTCTGTACGTTGATATGAGTTTGATAACTGCTTGTGCAGTGTTCTGAAGTCTCACGTTTTATGTTGTTACGTGTCATACTTCCTCTGGAGACACCATTTGCCTCATGACAAATCGGAAAATGATCAAGATAGCGACTCTGATTGATTTACATATCGTATTGACTTGTGACGGTTGACATTGCTTTTTAGTCTCCAATATTTCAGTGAGTCATGCTAATGTGTTAATGGTAATAATTTTCTATACCCCAGCACTCGAGTTGTTTTGTTTTTCATTTACCCAACCTTTTACTCGCTCAAAATTTTATTCGCCCAACACTTTTCTCTTCGGTGCTGATCCCAGTCAATATCAAAGAAATGTTCACGATTATCTCTCATATATATAGAGCATCATAATGATTTACATCTGGCATTAATTAAAGATGGTCTTAATGGGGGGCCTGAAAATCAGTAAACGGTAAAAATTTTGGTATTTTATGGGTGAGTGTTTGAATCCGCTGAAAAGTGTTCCCAAACGATAAACAGCATTTCGTTCCTCACGCTTTTATTGGATTAAAATTTTTAGTGCTTTAATGAATGACGGTAACAGAAATTGAGTATTCTCGACTCACGATCGATGTACACCCAAAGCCATAATTAAGCTGAAAGAGCTTATTATATAGCGTATTAATCCACTTATGTAAAATATACATGAGGTATCACATGCAGAGTACCCAAATCCCATTCTCAAATTTGTAAGTACCTGATACTTTCGAATTGAAAAATAACCTCGAGCTATAGCCTACTGAGCATGGGACGTCTTGGCAAACCGTCCACTCAAGGGGAGAATGAAGTTTACCAGGATATTTTTAGACAAACTCTTAATCAAAAGTTCTCAGAACTTTGAAATGTCCAAGTACAACTTTCTCTTTTCATAATGATATGTGGGTTTTTTTGCCTGTCATTTGCATACAGTCCCAGTATAACCCAAATTCCATTTCCCTATCCAAAAATAGGCAAATCAATTCCCATTTTATACTCTCAGGACCTTCACTTGTAGCTCATGCGGTTCGAAATCGCCCTTCCTGTGTAAACACAGAGACGTCTGTCCATTTATTTATTCATTTTAAAACTTTCCGGCTATTTTTCTAAGAATCGACACATAATGCAGACAATATACATGCAACAAGTGTACAAACTCTGCTCGGGAGACGATTCGTAGATATCGCAAACAGGTTATTAACACTGCCACGACTACAAGCAATTATAAATTTAATAAAAAAATATATGTGGTAATTTTCATTTTTGGTAGCATGCCACCGCCTTCGTCATATCATAGGTTTGGTTGTGTACACAAACGTTTGGTGGAGTGCTCAACGGATATCATAATTAAATAAATTCAATTACGACTCCTTTTTAAATAGGATTAATTTAAAACTTGCGTCCACTTGTACATAAAAATACTATAGGTTTTTTGCTGTAGTCGTAAAGACTAGTTTATCCGATGAGTGTTACATTTTGTGGTACGAAACCAAATGGAAATAGGAAAGATGCAGAGGAATTTATCTCATCCTAGTGGAATTTATTGAGTCGTTGACTTGAATTAAAAAATTTCGAACTCTCGATAAACTTCGAGAAACAGCGTAGTAAAATTCGGTAATTATTTGGTAAGGGGAACCAAGTCGGAAGGTTAATCTTTATGTAACTGTCCCAGTTTCAACTCAGGTACGTAGTTTGTGTATTGGAAGTCGTAATTTTGTAACAGATATTGCAGGTACACGATACCGAATATAATATCGAAACTATGGAGTTTAAGCTTTGCGTTCAAACGTCAAACGCCAGGGGAAGAAGAAGGTAATATATGGGAAATCAACTTGCTATTTTAAGACTGTATAATGTATGATGATTCTCTTGAGATAAGAATGAGAAGATGAAGCGAAGAAGTTAAGCAAGGATTCTGCCAACAAAATTCGACTATGACGTCTGCCGTTCCCGCAAATGTGAGGCTTAAACACCCTACTGTTTATTTATAGGCACACGAGAGAAACGGATCGGCTGACCTAACCGCGGCCTCACGTGGGGGCTAGCTCAGTATGTTCTCTCATGTGCGGATATGGTTTTCGTGAGGATTTATCCTCTCGAGGCCTTGAGGAAAATACCTATCGTGTTATTTTATTGTCTGAACAGCAGTTTGGGTTCAGGCGCTTTCATTCCACGTCCACTGCTTTGCTTGATTGTACTGATGAGTGGTATGTTAATATGGATCGTGGTTTGTATAATCTTGCCGTTTTTCTCGATTTAAAAAAAGCATTTGACACGGTAAACCACGACATTTTAGTGGCTAAACTAGAGTTATATGGTATTAAGAACACGCCTCTTATGCTTCTCAAATCGTACTTATCAGATCGATCTCAGAAATGTCAAGTAAATGGGGAACTTTCCACACTAAAATATCTAAAATATGGCGTTCCTCAGGGTTCATTTTTGGGTCCACTTCTGTTTTTAATTTATATCAATGATTTGCCGAATTGTTTACAACACTCTACAGCACGCATGTTCGCCGACGATACTAACATTACAGTGTCCGGTAAATCAATTAAGGAAGCGGAGGTGGCCGTTAATGTCGATCTCAATAATATCAGAGAATGGCTTCTATCGAACAGGCTCTCTCTTAACCTTGTCAAAACGGAATATCTTTTGATTGGATCACGCCACAATATTAACACGTTAGAAGAACAACCGCGTGTTTTTATTGGAGATGAACCAATTAAAGGGGTTCAAGTTACAAAAACGCTTGGAGTCAAAATTGATCAATTTTTAACTTGGGACAGTCATATTGAACAAATTTCTAAAAAAATATCTTCTGGAATAAGTGCCATGAAAAAGATAAAGGATTTCACTAATTCTGATACTTTGAAGTCGGTCTATTATGGTCTTGTCCAACCCCATTTCGACTACTGTTGTGAAGTTTGGAATTCCATTAGTAGAGGCCAGTCTGAACGACTACAAAAACTTCACAACAGATGTGCTAGAATTATAATGAACTTTAAAGATGAGCCTGGGCAATCTCAACTGGCCCTCGATCAATTAGGGTGGATAAGCTTGGAAGAAAGGCGAAAACATAATATGGCCGTCTCATGTTTAAGGTTGTCAATAATTTGGCACCATCGAGGTTCTCATCAATGTTCCAGAATTCTAACCATATCCACAGTTATAATTTACGAGGTTCAAATTCGTCTCTCTTTCTGCCACGACCAAATACCGAGTATGGCAGAAAATGTTTTCGATATAGTGGGGTTAAAATCTGGAATAGCATTCCTGAACAAGTAAGAAACAGCGAATCTTTAAATTCTTTCAATAGAAATATTTCCTCTGTTAGTCTGACGAATTAGCTATTTGAGTTTTGTATACCATCTGTTTTGTAATATGTATTTGTATTCGTAGTTCTTAATTTTCTTAGTGATTTTGTATTTTATATATTTTTGTAACATTTATCTACGCCCCACTTGGAAAGCAGCTATGGTTGAAGTGGCCAGCGTAGTCAAATAAAGTTTTATCCTATCCTATATATATACATATATATATATACATATATATATATACATATATACATATATATACATACATATATATACATACATATATATACATACATATACATACATATATATACATACATATATATACATACATATATATACATACATATATATACATATATATACATACATACATATATATACATATATATACATACATACATATATATACATATATATACATACATATATACATATATATATATACATATATATATACATATATATATATATATATATGCATACATATACATACATACATATATATACATATATATACATACATATATATACATACATATATATACATACATATATATACATACATATATATACATATATATACATACATACATATATATACATACATACATATATATATATACATACATACATACATACATACATACATACATACATACATATATATATATATATATATTAATATATAAGACACTTGCAAATGTCTGGATGCGTTGGTGTCACTGCGTTGTACCACAAGCTCTTGGTGAGAGCAATATATATATATATATATATATATATATATATATATATATATATACAGTTCGCCAGCCAATTTGAATCTATTACAGCCGATGAAATAGAAATAATTATGCACTCAAGGAAATCCCTATTGTTTGATAAGAATGAGCCTTGGGCTAAGAAATCCAACCGCAGCCTATTTGACGTGTCAATGGGCAGTTTCGATGGCGCCGAAATCTGCGAGTTGGTCGGGCTTTTCGCACTTAGCAAGCTTAACGAAAAATGCAGCAACAACATAGACATTGGCCTATATCGAGACGACGGATTGGCCGCCATCCGTAACGCGCGCCCTAGAACAGGAGACAGAATCCGCAAGCGGTTCTGCGAAGTTTTTGCAGAATTGGGATTAAGAATAACGGCTCAAGCCAATCTATATGTGGTCAACTTTCTAGACGTCACCCTAAATCTATCCAATGGCAAATACGTGCCATATAGGAAACCAGATGACCCGCCATCATACATCAATTCTCAATCGAACCATCCACCTCCCATACTTAAGCAGCTACCATCGACTATATCCAAGAGGGTTTCGTCGCTTTCATGCAACCCCGAAGAATTCGCTAGAGCAGCCCCCACCTACGATAGCGCCCTTCAATGTAGTGGGTTTACCAGCAAACTAGAATATTCCCAACCATCATCCCCTCGCAGGAACCGCAGAAGGAATATATTATGGTTCAACCCGCCGTACAGCATGAATGTCCGAACGAACGTCGGCATGCATTTCCTGCAATTAATAGACAAGCATTTCCCAATAGGCCACCAGCTACGGCCAGTCTTTAACAGAAATAGCTGTAAAGTAAGTTATAGCTGCATGGATAACATAGAATCTATAATCAAGCAACATAATGCTAAAATTCTCAAACCCAGCCCGACAAATGACGTTAATAGTCAATGTAATTGCCAAGACGAGAAGAACTGCCCATTAAACAATGCATGCAAGACAAAGAGCATTGTATACCAAGCTACAGTGACCCCATCGAACCAGCCACCTAAAATATACATAGGACATATACATCAAAACGCGGTACCGAAACCACAAATCATCCTTCAACAATGTTGAGCACGCTGGAAGTACAACGCTCTCGAAGTTCATCTGGGAATTAAAGGAATCCGACACAGCTTACGCAATCGAGTGGAAAATCCTTAAGCGTGCAAATGCTTATAGGAGTGGAGGAAAGATATGTAACTTGTGCCTATCCGAGAAAATCTGCATTTTATATGCAGATAAACAATCACTACTGAATAAAAGATCAGAATTAATAGCTAAGTGTTGTCACGAAAGGAAATTTTACGCTTATAATTACAATCCACCGTAAAAGCACTTTAGTCTGATGATCGCCTTTGTGCGTGAAACTCGAGTAACTTTTATCGTAAATAGGTTTAGGTTTTATTAAATTATCTTCAGATATCATGTCTTAGTCTACACTAATAATATATATATATATATATATATATATATATATATATATATATATATATATCTATATATATATATATATATATATATATATATATATATATATAATATATATATAATATATATATAATTATTATTTAAACTTGCCCATGCTTCAAATTCTCACCTCCCAACGGAAAATTCGCTGCTGATCCAGATATTGTTTGAAGCGTGACTGAAGCTTTATAAAGGTAGAATTGTAGATATCCTTTGTGATGTCATTAAAGAACAACAGTCTCTTGGAGTGAGCATTAGGAATAAGAAAGCACTCCCATGGGTTAGAACTTTTCTTTTGGCTTATGCCACACTCTTTTGCAAACACCAAGCGACCGTTTACAAGTTTCAAAGCTGAAAAGTAAATATTAATGAAAATCCATTATTTAATATACAGTATAGAAGGAGAATACGGTTTACATGGTTCAGATCAAGTTGACCAGACTAGCCAAGACAGTACAGGGGCCGGTTGTTCCATGGTTGGATAGCGCTATCCACCGGATAGTGATTTTTTCAACCTTTGTAAAATGCTTGAAAAACTGCGAAACTACGGATATAGACAGCACAAGAAGTAGAAAAAACATTTAACTTAAAAATAGTAAACGTTAAATACAAGTTATACCAATCAACGACTGATTTAACAAAGCTTGAAAAAATCGCTATCCGGTGGATAGTGCTATCCACCTTTCAAACAACCAGCCCCAGTACAACTAATATAATCTCAGAGGTTTTTAGTCCCAAGTTTTGTTAATAATTAATATTAATAGCAAGGTCATGGACAAGGTCATGGACAAGGTCATGGCCCTATAGACAGGTATGGACTTACTGGGGGGTCTGGGGGTGCTCACCCCCTAGCCTTGACCAAAGAGGAGTGCCAATTTCCATATGAAATCCAAATGTTGGATTTGGCAAGGCATGTATCAAGCAAAAACACAATATTGGCCCATTGGGCCCCCTTTTGACCATCTAGGCAATTCTAGTTTTCAAAAATTTTCAGACAATCGCCCCTGCAGCGGGTCCTCAGTGATGATGCACTCTCGCTTAATCAACAATTACATCCTGTTTTATGACCTGAGCCCCCCTGCTTAGCACCCCCCTGCCAGGTCAGGCTGGATCCATCCATACCTACAGGCACATTGGCTATTAGCTGCTACCTTTTTTCTATTAATTAAACCCGCTTTTTATTATAAAAAACAAATAAAATGGAAGGTCATTGTGATAGCAGCTTCTATTTATAATAATTAAATATAAATTATATTATATTATATTATAAAGCATCATTATTATAATTTACAGTCTTTACAAAATTTATTGAAAGAATACGTACTTTTGACTGAGATTTCATTTTCAGGGTATTAATAACTTTTTCTGTGGTATTCGATTCCTTTGTTAATAAACTTCCACTTTCTGCTGACTGACTCTGAAGTTCAATAAAGACTTCTTGAACTTGACAATATGTCAACTCTTTGACATTCCAACATTGATGAATAAGTCTTTAATATGGAAAGCCATGGCTGCCTTATGTTATCAATATTCTTCGCATGATTTGCTTTTACCTGTATATTGGGTGTTTTCGTCATTATATTGGGTGTTTTCGTTATTATATTGGGTGCTTTCGTCCTTATATGCGGTGCTTTTATCATTATATGCGGTGCTTTCGTCATTATATTGGGTGCTTTTATCGTTATATGCGGTGCTTCCGTCATTATATGCGGTGCTTATGTCATTATATGCGGTGCTTATGTCATTATATGCGGTGCTTTCGTCATTATATGTGGTGCTTTCATCATTATATGCGGTGCTTTTATCATTATATTGGGTGCTTTAAGCTTTCGTCATTATATTGAGTGCTTTTATCATTATATTGGGTGCTTATCTCATTTCATTGGGTGCTTTCGTCATTATATTGGGTGTGTTACTCATTATATTGGGTGCTTTTATCATTATATTGGGTACTTTAGACATTATATTGGGTGCTTATGTCATTATATTGGGTGCTTGTGTCATTATATTGGGTACTTTCGTCATTATATTGGGTGCTTATGTCATTATATTGGGTGCTTTTGTCATTATATTGGGTACTTTAGTCATTATATTGGGTGCTTATGTCATTATATTGGGTGCTTTTGTCATTATATTGGGTGCTTTAGTCATTATATTGGGTGCTTATGTCATTATATTGGGTACTTTTATCATTATATTGGGTACTTTAGTCATTATATTGGGTGCTTATGTCATTTCATTGGGTGCTTTCGTCATTATATTGGGTGCTTTAGTCATTATATTGGGTGCTTTTATCATTATATGCGGTGCTTTTATCATTATATTGGGTACTTTCGTCATTATATTGGGTGCTTTTATCATTATATTGGGTGCTTTAGTCATTATATTGGATGCTTATGTCATTATATTGGGTACTTTTATCATTATATTGGGTACTTTAGTCATTATATTGGGTGCTTATGTCATTTCATTGGGTGCTTTCGTCATTATATTGGGTGCTTTAGTCATTATATTGGGTGCTTTTATCATTATATGCGGTGCTTTTATCATTATATGCGGTGATAATGAAATCTATAACACTTGTCAATCATATTGTATGATTCCTTTCGCAAGTAGCACTTAAATGGCTTCCGTGCGACTCATTATTTTATTTTGGCGCCCAAAATCATAGTTTGCCGACTAAATTTTTGAATAAGGCCACATAAAAAAAAATAGTTGGTTAGCGTCCCCGCCCACCCACAAAAAAGGCCCCGCTCAGGATTTTTTTAAATTTTTTATTTAAAAAAAAAAGACTTTTATTGATCAACGGGCTCTAATATATGTAGTATTTCTGTTGACTGTAGTCAATTGTGTTAATAATTTGCGAAATTGCGTGCGAAAATGACGGTATGAATTATATTTTGAAATATATAAAAAAATATCTGTACCGCGCAAGAAAATCCAGTTTCGGACCTAACAGTGAGTAAAATCAAGGCGTTAAAAATTAGTAAAAAATTTAAAAAAAAGCGCCCGCCCGCCCACTTTTTGGCAAAAGCTAAGGACGCTAACCAACTATTTTTTTTATATGGCCTAAAAGCCAACAGACATTTGAATATCCGTTTAGAACTACATCCTTAAAACAAAAAAAGCTTCAAAGAGTTTAGTCTAAAATCGATTCGACGGCTTTTTCATTCAGCCCTACTAGGAGGGCTAGCCCTCTCTACTGCGTTTATATGAGAAAATTGCAGCCCTACTAGGCGAGATCTCGGGTCAACAATAGCGAGATCTCGCCTAGGAGGGCTGGCCCTCTTCTCATGTAAACGTAAACATTTTTTAATAAGGATTTCAAATAGCACGCGGGATCTCGCCTAGTAGGGCCAGCCTTCCCTGAACTTCAGGTTAGGGTGCACGCAACAGTTTTCACCAATTACAGCGTCCCCATGAACTATGCTAATACTTATACGTCAACGAACACAAATCTAATAACAACACGATATTTGACAGGACAGATTACAAGACTTGTTACAAGACAAACATATAGATTTCCATGTCCTTGGATCATCAACGTCAAAAACGTCTTCCAGCGCTAACTTGTTTTATTAACTTGGAAAGTCCGTTTTTGAATTGTCCTAAACTGTTATTGCTTGTCAAACTCTTTGGTAGTACGTTCCATAATCTCTGTGTTCGGTTGAGTAATGACCTTTGGTAGGTAGTGGTCTTGCATTTTGCCGGTGTAAATGACAGATGATTGGGATCAGACGACCTGATTTCTCTTCTGTTGTTATTGAATGATGACTGTATTAAATTGTTTCAGTCCTCCCTTTTTGCTGCGACAACCAGAGCGGGCATGTAGTTGCATTTCACAGCGGGCAGTTGCGTTTCAGAGCGGGCCGGATGCCCGGAAAAAAACGTCCCGCTGTGAAAGGCTCCTCAGCCAATCAGATTGCTTCAGTTTCACTCATGAAAAATACATATATATATATATATATATATATATATATATATATATATATATATATATATATATATATATATATATATATATATATATATATATATATATATATATATACGCAAGACTTGAAAAGTTGAAAGAACTATATTTATTATCCTTTCCACGTGTATACTACCATTCTTCCACGTGTATTTAACAATGAAGAGTACAAGAATAACTGAAAACATAACATCAATAACTTCACTATTATAAAAATCAATTGTTCAACTATAATAAGTTAGTTCACACCCCTCAAGCCCATTTACTTAATCATAAACTAATTATATTCGATAAATATGTGTTTGATGGCTGGTTTTTTTTTAGGAAATGATACAGTAGAAATAGACAGTACAGTAGACAAAAAACGTTCTCATTGTTATAGAAAATTTGTTGTAGAGAAAATTTGATCGTGTAAATATGGCTTAGGGTTTTACAGCTTTTTTATATTCAAGATAAATATCAAATATATACTTTGTTTTTTGTTTGTTTGTCTGTTTGTTTAGAACAGTCAACAAATGTCAAGTTCATAACATTCAACAGTTAACAAATGAATAGGAAAAACAACACGCACCATGCAAACTAGCAATTTATAATTGCCATTGGTGTTTCTATATTAGAATATTTTTATAACTACCTATTTCCAAAATAAGTGTTTACAAAAGCATAGTCGTACAAATCAAAGAGCTTTGGCAAATCTGGAAGCTGAACATTTATGCTCGGACGTGGTAGCGTCATACTATTGATGCAGGTGTTTGCAGATGGCAAGAAAGTTGTGGATACCTCAACAAAACTTAATGTAGGTTGCAGCATAAAACCAAGAAATGGTTCTTCATCACACGCCGTACCAAATTGCAATATATGTGCAAGCGTCAGATTGCCTCTCCTACCACCTGAAACGGGAAAACATAATTGCATGACACTTACACCTTTGTTCTCACATACTGCTCACACCGGCTGGGGCTTATAGTATTAGCCAAGATTTGTAACATGCATGTTTTCCCAAACTACCAAAGGCAAAAGGGATATTTATATCGAAAGATGGCTGAATGAGCTTCTGAAAATCTAATGTCAGGGTTTGTTAAACCAAAAGAGAGCTGAGATACAACTACCCAATAAATACAGAATAATTTTATAGAACTTCGGCGTTTCGAGCGGAGCTATGCTATTCATCGGGGGAGTTAGTGAGGTTATCTCTCTCAATCCGCAGCTGTCTTGTTATATCGTCGGGTTATACATTGGCATGACAGACCGTTTGGTATATAACCAAATACTGTCTGTATTTAAGTGCAAACAATAGCAACGGATCGATGATGTCTGTGCCTGTGACAAATCACCTGACAGGTTTTATCGATGTAAATACGAATCAATGCTTTATAGCTCGTATACATCTACATCAATTAAGTCGGTAAAGACCGTGTAAGCTAGGTATCACACCAACTCTACTAATTAATATTTTCAGTAACCTAAGTTTAAAAATATGGTAAAAGTAGATATATAACTACTTTGCCTTTGAATAAAAGTCCTCAAGTTCCAATTTATAAGACTCGTATGAGTTCGCATTGAATAAAATGCTTGGTAAAGTCTAAAGAGTTCCAATCTTTAATTGTTCTCGGGAAAAAAGAGTATTTAAAAACGTCTTCATTTATTTTAGGTAAAACATATTTAAAATTATGACTGCCATGTGTCCATTTTTCGCTATTGAACTTGAGGTGTTCGCTTGTATCAAAATTAACTAACTTATAGCTCAGTTTATACATCATATTTAATCGATATCATTTTTAATCGGGATCATTTTCAGGACTTTCTCCCCGGATTCAGGTTTTGGCACATATGCCATGTTGACCGCCATGGTCATTTTACCCTTAAACAGTCAAGATTACCTGTGCTAAATGAAACGCATATACAAATATCTATATACAGGTCCTAGACTATAGTAAGTAAACTGGTGGTCGCTATAGAGCTCCGGCTCGTATTACTATATTAGGAGGATTGCCGCTGCAAGTTATACTTTAAAACCAATTCGATTACGTGTAAGACTTATTCCAAAAAACGCTTCTGAATCTGTATTTTCACTAATGGCAAGAGAGTACCTAAAACAAACATATACTATATAGTATTATAGAAGTGATTTTATCTAAAAATGAAAAAGAGGCCACAAATACATCAAAATGCATGCAGGAGTAATTTTTGTTATAGATTTCTTTGCTTTTTCACCCGTTTTCATGAAGCTTTCAATAACGATTAACGCATCTCTTGTCTATACAAGAACTTTAACCGTTCATTTTTCCATGGCAGTATTAAAACTTAGCTGCATGATTACCCGTTGATAAAATGTTGCTAATTTATAAAAATTCATCCCTGCACATTAGCAAAATGATTCTTTCATCCGCTTACTGTACTTTCACACAACAACCGTTTACCTAAAATCATTCTGAAAGCCCTGCAAATGAATATGCAGTAAATTGTTTTCAAACCCAACCAAAAACAACACTGCATGCCCTCCACCAAAATACTAAATGTCCTGCTAAGAGTGATGTCAACAGAAATACCCATGCATGCACAACAGCATACAGCAATAGCATATAGTAAAAAGGCAAAAATGGAAATCTTACTTGCCACCTCTCTGATGTATTTCATAAAAGCAGAATATATTGATTTCTCAAGCGTTAAGTTGTTTGAACCTTCCTCGCTAAACTGAGGGCGGTAGATATGTACAATTTTCTTCACAGTTAGTGCCTGAGGCGTTTGATTGAATATATTTTTCAGGACAGGCAGATGTTTGACCATCTAAAACAAATCATAAGTATATTCTTAAAAGGCAGTTGTTAGGAAATTAGCAAGTGCTGCAAGGATACTGTATATAGGGATATCTATGTCAACAGGAAACCACATTTTTATGAAGAAAATGATTTATAACCTGAAAAATTCCAACTCTGGCAAATCCATCTCTAAGCTTAGCAACGCATGGCTGAAGTTCAGAGTTGTCAAAGGCTTCAGTGATGATCTCTTCAGTCATAAACTGCGGTATCTTGCCGTTCTGAATGATGCTGAGACCTAAATGTAACAGGACGAAACGATAACAAAAATTTTGTCAATCATATTTCCAACATGAATATCTACACTATAGACTTTTCTGGGACCGGCTAAACGGAGAGTTATGAAGTAGAGAGTTATCTTGGAGAGTTATGGTTTCGGAGAGTTATGTTCGAACCACGCCCAAACCACGCCCACTTTTCCCAACGACCACACCCAATTTCTTAACTCTCCCGATGTTTCCTTGAACTAACATGAGAGAGTTATGTTTGACGTAACTCTCTCTCGTTAACATTATGAAGATGTTAGAGAGTTTTTATAACTCACCGCGTTCACGATTGTGGCAATGCCAATGAAGACTGTTTTGCCTGTCAGTTATTTGAAAAAACTTCCACATTTTAGTAAATTATTGTGAACTTTACTTTTTTCTCAAGTTTCAGCTTTAACATTTCACGCTAGTAGAAACTGGTAGTAATTTAGTACAAACCAAGTGAAGCGAGTACGAGTAAATCATAAATTATTACATGATCACTTGGATTATCTACAAAGCTCATGAGCATTCAGATACAGCTTTCGTATTAGATAGAACCAGAAAACCTTTCCAATGTAATGCCCTACTGGCTGAGCTGGGAAAGTATTTCCATAACCTGAATTGCAACTATGCTACCGTGTTTACTGCCAAATACACGTCAAAGCATGCTTCAGGGGTAGCATCTCATTGTTTTGATCCTGTTTGGACACACGCTATTGACACGCTACAAACTGAAATACCAAAATATAAGATGAAAATCTGAAGAAACAAGCTTTACTAAGGTTTTCTCAAAAAACTGACATAACTCTCTTTATTGCCACAATCCTGAACGCGGAGAGCTATAACATCTAACAACTCTCTAACATCTCCATAATGTTAACGAGAGAGAGTTACGTCAAACATAACTCTCTCATGTTAGTTCAAGGAAACGTCGGAAGAAATTGGGTGTGGTCATTGGGGAAAGTGGGCGTGGTTCAAACATAACTCTCTGAAATCATAACTCTCCGAGATAACTCTCCGGTTGGTAACTCTCCCTTTAGTCATACCCGACTTTTCTTATAATGACGCCAAACGCGGAAAACCAATTTATGCGATGTCTCATAGGACAATGCAATTCGCTGGCGAGCCAAAACATTTAAAATTAATTCATAAAAACATAATTTATACAGTATAGGCCATTGCGAATTCAGGTCGCTAACAATTGTCCCTTGGGACATCTCATTACGTGTGTGTGTATTTTTCAAATATATGTATTAATAATGTCAAAGAGCGGAAGTCCAACTTACATGAACATTTATAGTTTTTTAATGAAAACTATCCGGGGAATAGTATTTCAGTTGTATGTAACAGAAAAAGTTCACTATTGCACAGGACCAGGGTCCAATGATTCGTTTTCTGGTAAAATGCTAGCAATGTCCTTACCCATTATAATACCAACAGGTTCATAGTCCTCACAAAGATGATCTCTTAAACCCTTATCAAAATACTTGTCTTTGATAGCATTTAGAACGAGTCTAAAAAACTCCTTTCTGGGCCCTCCATAGTCTTCTGCACACTACACAGAAATATTTATTAAAACAAGAAAATTAGATTTGAGGCCAATCATATAATAGAATAATGCTTGTGATGTTACTCTTGAGTGCATGTGTATCCACACCGGGCAAGCTTGAAAACTATGCCTGCATGGCCACAGTGGGAATCGAACCTATGACCTTTGGAATACTAGCTCGATGCTCTGCTAACTGAGCTACGCAGTCAGGTCGGTTCGAGTATGTGATATTTCGGACTAGCATTGGGCTAGTATTCCAAAGGTCGTATGTTCGATTCCCACCATGACCAGGCATATTTTTCAACCTTGCCCGGGTGGATATACACTCAGAGTAACATCACAAGCATCATATTCACCTGAGTACATTGCACCAACAAAAAATTCACATAATAGTATTGTTGAATGGACACATATGTACTTGAATTACATCCTCGGTAGATCCGCCGTGAGGCGTATTATTTTCATACACTGCATGTATTATATTATATAGGCCATTTATTTTGCCCTCAAGACCCCATTCCATTCACTGCGACCTTTTTATACAATATGAACTTGAATTGTCACAGCAGTAGACTAGGGATCCAAGGATAGTGCAAAGTTTCAAAGACGAACGCTATAAGACATGCTTATTGATTGAATAGCTTTTCAAGCGTGGTTTTATAGCTTTAATCACATGTCGATATGACGTAGTAGCGCGCGAACTGTTACAACAGTAAAAATGCTAAGATCTGGTTTAAATCTAATACTTTACGATTAAAGAATGACGAGAGTTATGTAATATTATTTATTTCCCATATAATATTAGTGACAAGGCATAATTTCTGTTATAATGTTGTAAAGTTTCAAATTGAAAACGACACTATATAGGGGGGCCGACAACCTAGATGACTTATGTAAATCTATGATTATTCCCATCATCCTTTTAGCGCCCATATTGTACATTTGACTATTGTCTCTGTGACAAATTTAATTGAAATAGCTGTATAAGATATGTTATTAATAATAAGCACTACGACGTTGTATTCAATTAGAAAAAAAACACAGAAACATAAAAGAGGAGAAAAAGAACTCATTAAAATGACGCATTTTATCTATAACCGTTCCGCATTTTATCCCCATATCTGTTCAGTGGATCCGCTTCCGCATTTTAACCTAATTGTGACGTGTTCATTGACCTTTGACTTATTTCGAAGGTCACATTGTTGTTTCGTTAGTCATTTTCAGCTTTTCGCATGTATTCAATAATGTCACTTTAGATTTCAATAGTTTCACAGTTAATATCCATGCCTGTATATTTAGTTTTTTTGCAGGTAGCCAAAAAACTTTTGCAATTAGTTTGTGGAAAATTTTAAGTATTTTTTTAGTTAGTATGCATAAAAACTTCAGAGTTCAGACAAGGATTGCAGTTAGCTTCAGACACTTGCAGGTAGCGCCACTACCTAGGATACCCTGTTTTGACAGGCATGGTTATATCAGTGTTTATACCAATTTTGACAAGCTTTGATTCAGATAGATTCTCGTAATATCTGGTAGAGTTCTCGTTGCACTGAACACGAGTTTGCACCATTAGCGTTGTGCTAGACACGTAAACAAAGATTTTCTCTATATTTACTGGGGTCTGTCTGAAATATTTATACATTTAAAAACAACAGTCTCAGTGTCTCACTACTTCCTAGCTCTGTATAATGAATATACGTCAAATTAATATTGGCACTTAATTGACTGCCCGTAATGCAAAACATCAATTTATATATTGCGTAGAATCTCAAAGATTTTCTCAATATTCATGCCTGAAATGTTCATATATTTCAAAAAACAAAACAACACTGTCTCGCTGCTTCCTAGCTTTGTATGTTGAAATTGAATATACCATCAAAGTAATATTGGTACTTAATTGAATACCATAACATCAATTTATATATTGCGTAGATTCTCAAAGATTTACTCGATATTCAAGTCTATAAAAATGTCTATAATTTGAAATCAACACTGTTGGCAGTGTCGCTCCTTGCTATCATTGTCACGCCATCGTGATCTACGACTTGATAGCACATGCGCATTTGCGCTGCTAAAGAAAAAATTGGTGTTCCAGGGGAAAGATCCTTTACACAACACGGACAAGCAAATGTTATAAAATTGACAAAAATTTACAATAACGACGACGATTCCTGGAAATTTTTGTGAACTTGGCAAAGGACAAAATAAGTATTGAAATAAGACAACTGAAATTGCCTAAATAACTTTCAAAGCACTGGCTAAGTACAATAAATCACCACGAAGATAAATCGTTTACACCCCCAGGAAAGTTTACTCTATGATATCTGATGTATGACTGATGTGAATTTTCGCCACTTATCACAATAGTGCACAGTTTCAAAGAAACTCTGCACTAAAAACGATACATTGTGTCGTTAATGGCGTCCACATAATTGTACTATGTGACCTATTTTTAGTTTTGGTGTCACTTTGGTATCTGTAAAGCAAATCTTTAGTCCTTACATAAAAACTGAAACAAAAAAAGTTACTTATTACCTCGCCATAAAATTCAACTTGCAATGTTGGTCTTAGGTCTGTGATATCCTTAATTTCATCCAATGATGTTAACAAAATGTTTGCTCTGTCCACCAAGATATAATTAGTCAAGCCTTCGCAAACTTGAGTGGGATCACTTACATCAAGTTCTCTTCCTGTGACAATTTCCTTCTGAAAACATCTTAATATCTCCACTGAATCCACAATCTCATTCTCTGAGCAGTGTTTTGCAACTGCTTCAGCAATGTTATCAAATGATGGTGCACCACTTTCAGCTATGGGTGTAATTGCTTCATTTGGCAACAAATCTTCTGTAGATACATCTACCAACTCTGCTTGGATAGTATGTACACCTGCCAACTCTGCTTGGGTTGTGGAAGAATCAATTTGCAATTCACTACTTGGACTTTCATTTACCGTGGTTTCTCCTTCACCTTCAGAGCTTACCTGCAAGAATTCTTCAACACAAAATGTTGAGTGTGTTCTCATGTTTCGAACCAGCACATGCTTTCTGCACACTTTACACATTTCTTCTAGTTCAGATGGTTTGTCTTCAACTACAGGATTTGTGTTTAAGTTGATCTGAATAGGCCTGATATAGATTCTTGATTGACCTCCAATACTAGCTTTCAGGCTTTTTACTGACCATTCGCAGTCGAGTATGTTTAGGTTTCGACAGTTTGAAATGCAGTTCATCAACTCAAAACCACCACAATTCTTTAGCTTTGGGAAACCAACAGTCTCATCTGTAATGTATCGTTTGGTATACATTAAGTTACAACAGCAGTTGAAAATTGAAATCAATATAATTTTTCACAATCAATATAATTGTTCGGTATGTCATATGTTCTGATATTAGGCGTAAAAAAAAACAAACCTGTGGTTCCAGTTTCATATCGTGAAAAAATTAGGGTTGGTAGGTCGGAAATTTTTTTTTAAATATTTTTTTTTATGGTTTTGGCTGTTTTTTTCATGGCGATTTTCAGTAGAGTCCCGACATGATTAACTCACTAGAGATATATATTTCCTAAGGACGAATTTAGGCAATTTGTTGTTGTTCCGTTTACGCATCTTAACTATGGAAATGGACACAAGACGCGTTATGTACTCGCGTAACATACGCGTTTACGCAAAGTTGGATAGTTCGTCTTGGATAGTTCGTTCGTTTCGCGTGGGTGTCGTTACTACGTTATTTGTAGATTCTTGCTGTTTAATCGCACAAGATATTTTCAAATATTTTATTTTGAAGGCGACAAGTGATTGTAGTGTCAAATTCGCATTTTCAATTGGCAATAATGATGAGCACAAATTTTCTTCCTGTGCTGTTTCGATTTGACAATCAATCGTGGGAAACCGGCGCCATATGGTAGTCTTCCAGTAGCTCGGCGAACGTTGTGTGGTGAGGCACCGATGCAGTTAATGTGATTACACAGTTGAACGATTATTGTCATAACAGTTGCCATTTTGGCACGCTGCATGAGCAGGCCGTAACCACCCAGAGAAAATAACACAGTCAATCACGTCGAAAAATAATAGGGTCGGTTGGGAACCGGAACCACAGGTTTTTTTTTACGCCTTAACCCATTACAGTTGCAAGACTCTCTCCTTGCCAAGTAAAATTGTCTGGTGACTGTGTTAGGCAGAGTAAACAAATAAAGTAGGGCGCATTGCTGCTTACCAAAAACAAGGATTTTGGAATAAATATGGGGGAAGGCCCCCCCCCTTACCCCCATTAGCAACTGTGCCCCAGCCCTGCTACAGCTTGTTCAGTGGCACCATGCACCCACTGTTGTGGCCCAAAATCTAAAAATCTGTCAGGTTCAGAGGGATTAATGCCTCTTGTAAGTGTGTCATATAGGGACATAGCGAGTGCATTTTGATGACAAATCATTGTGAATCATTTCAATACTACTAGCACAGAACAAAGGCACACAGAATGTAACTCAGCAAGTAAAGCGTAACCGCTGCCACGTCATGATCCTAACCAGTGTGCTTATGAGAGGCATCCCTCCTAGAGGTCTGCCATTTTGAATATTATCAGGGGGTGAATGCCTCTAATAGGTTCACTGTCTAGGACCATGGCATCAGCATTTTGATGATGAATGTAGGAAAAACCAAGTCAAGCTTCTATATATTCTCTCTTCTGTGCTGCTAGATTCAACAACACGTTATTAAAATACAGTATAGACCTTATTCATAAATCGTGACGAGGCCTCGTATCCTAGGATACGGGAACAAAACGCGGGAAAACAAGCGAAAACTGCTTGACAAGCCAAATTCAGATGCTATTGTGTCGACTTTAACGGCTTGTTTCTTGTTGCTTTTTGCGATTTATAACGATTTTTGTGTGTATTTTAAGACTTTGTGCCCACAACGAAAGCGGTAAACGCGTATATTATAAAAGCGACCGGTTTTTCTCCCATTTTTGTGTGGAAAAAATGACAACGTAGCGATGGTGTTTATCCAGAAGCGAAAAACAGTATTTTACTAGATTTTATCGTCAATATAAAGGTTATTCCGTGAAAAATCAAGACAACCATGGAATGAAAGTATAATTTTTCAAATTTGACAGTAATATGAAAGAAAACAACAGGTCACAAATCACAGCGAACGTCAAATGTTATTGATTCGTACGGAAAAATATGAACTATGGCTGTGGCTCGATAACATTCTGCAAGCAGCTTACAAGTTTAAAGAATGAAGGCTACATTACCTGAGTGAGTTGTAATCCTGTTTCGTCAACAATAGTTTCATATTTCTTACGATTTTGGTGTTGTATAGACGTTTTGTAGCCTTGTTGGTTGTTAGTTTTGGCCATACAAACTTGGCAATATAAATACAAAGTCAAGGTTTCCTTTTTCGATTGACTCCAGCATCTTTTGCTTTAAATATCATGTTATATTTTTTCAGAAGTATTTTTTCAACTTTCAAGATCAGTTTTATAAATATATTTTTCGAAAAAAGCCGTAATATTCACGAAAGAAAGCTGCCATAGCCGACAGCAAAAAAAACATTTTGTCAATTTTCCCGCGTTTTCCCCCATTTCCTAGGATACGAGGCCTCATCACGATTTATGAATAAGGTCTATGTTTTACCTGTATCACTATTAACTTTGTCACTGCATGTAATTTTTTCAACCACAGCTTTTTCATCATCATCAGCAGCAAAAGTGATTTTTTTAATTCCGAGGCCTGCTTTCTGTAGAATCTGCTTTTCATCAGCAGAGGGAACTCTGCTAGCCAATCTGTCTGCTAAGCACATAAAATTGCCCGTCCATGTCCTCTTCCTGCCTTCCTTTTTCCTGGCAGGTGTCAACCTTGATCCTCCTGCACGTAAACTTCCCCTGACGTTGAAAAGGTGTGCACGTTCCCTCTGAGTCTGCCTGGGTACAGAAGACAACTGTTCAGATGCCGAAGACGATGTACTGGCAGAGTCCGATGTGTTTATTTCTCTTTGACACAAATCACGAAACCGGACTCTGTCCCCAATCGTCGTTATTCCCAAGCGAATTAATTCATTATCACTTAGCGAAACTGCAACCTTCTCGTCTATCTTCTCGTTTTTGAACGTTTCAAAAAGAGTGGACATACCTATTTTTCCCAGGATGCTTTCTATTCTTGAGAAAATGCTATCAGAAGACATTTTAACTGTAAATTCACACGACTACTGACGCACAAACACGTGCATGAGGGCATGTAGTAAAAGAAGGAACACCGGAATGGCGGAATACCGGAATGCCGGAATACCGGAACACCTGAATGCCGGAACACCGGAATAGTATTTTTATTTTTGAAGGACAATTTAAAAAAATATTTCAAATCCATAAGGAATTTTTTATTTAAGGTGTTTAAACATGAATAAAAAATGTCAATATATATACAGTATTATTCAATGCGGCAGTTTAGTAGACCTTATCAAACGCACACAAACACTTAATAACGCGATGTCCCACAAGACAATGTTTGGCGACGTTTCACCATGTAAATGGTGTTACTTGAAATTCGATTGGGTCGGCAACGACTTGCATTACGAGCTGTTGCTAAACATTTTCTTGTCAGACATCTCATAAGTTGTTTTCCTTGAAGGAATACATATATTCGTCTGAATAAAACTAATATCCCAGTTATATTCTACCAGGATTCGCTGATTAATTTAAATTAAAGTCTCGACGTGAATTTGAATTAAGTAAATGTAACCAATACACTAGTTATTGTGGATTTCAGATCACCTCTCAAAGCGTGGTTCCCTAGTTTGTTTGTTGGTAATTCCCAATTATTTATTAAGTCTTAAGAAATACGTTTAATTCGTTGGCTATATAAGTAAAACACTGCAAATTACGAGTTTAAGATCGCTACGTCGGTATTCCAGTTCAGTACTTCGGTATTTGAGTAAGCAACTTAAATTGTAATTCCACGCTCAATATTCCAAATTTAAAAAGCTGAATGGGAATTTCGTTGCGAGATAGAGACATCGAATTCAAGACTTTGTTATAACATATATGACATTTGGCTGACATATGACAATATTATTAATATTGTCATATGTCAGCCAAATGTCATATATGTTATAACAAAGTCTTGAATTCGATGTCTCTATCTCGCAACGAAATTCCCATTCAGCTTTTTAAATTTGGAATATTGAGCTTGGAATTACAATTTAAGTTGCTTACTCAAATACCGAAGTACTGAACTGGAATACCGACGTAGCGATCTTAAACTCGTAATTTGCAGTGTTTTACTTATATAGCCAACGAATTAAACGTATTTCTTAAGACTTAATAAATAATTGGGAATTACCAACAAACAAACTAGGGAACCACGCTTTGAGAGGTGATCTGAAATCCACAATAACTAGTGTATTGTTTACATTTACTTAATTCAAATTCACGTCGAGACTTTAATTTAAATTAATCAGCGAATCCTGGTAGAATATAACTTGGATATTAGTTTTATTCACACGAATATATGTATTCCTTCGAGGAAAACAACTTATGAGATGTCTGACAAGAAAATATTTAGCAACAACTCGTAATGCAAGTCGTTGCCGTCCCAATCGAATTTCAAGTAACACCATTTACATGGTGAAACGTTGCCAAACATTGTCTTGTGGGACATCGCGTTATTAAATGTTTGTGTGCGTTTGATATCCTTGTAAATAAGGTCTACTAAACTGCCGCATTGAATAGTACTGTATATATATTGACATTTTTTATTCATGTTTAAACGCCTTAAATAAAAAATTCCTTTTGGATTTGAAATATTTTTTTAAATTGTCCTTCAAAAGTAAAAATACTATTCCGGTGTTCCGGCATTCAGGCGTTCCGGTATTCCGGCATTCAGGTGTTCCGGTATTCCGCCATTCTGGTGTTCCTTCTTTTACTACATGCCGTGCAGGCATGAGTGTGTCAACAAAGTAACAAACTCACGGCTACACAATCAGATTGGAAGTCGGCATATTTAACTGAATGCAGTGCAAATTCACAGTCAATGATGACAATAGCGAGAAAGACGACGAAAATCGATTCCAAAGGTGTAAACATAAAGCAAAAAACAAGTTAATAACTTATAAATACAAAACTAAACATGCAGATGCAGACAGCAAATATGCATCATGTGCTCTAGTGCTTCCATTTTGAAAAGAACATAATTTCCTTCCAACCCTTTCCAATTTCCTTATTTTTGGAAAAATTTTCTTGCAATAAAAATTATTTGAATTTTAACTAATTTAAAACTGATATTATAGTAATTTAGCTCGAATAAGAGGGTATTTCTTGTTCTAGAAGGAACATAGACGTTACAGGGGCTGAATTATCAAAGGGGAGAGACAAAGAGTTTACGTAGATTATTGACACGAAGGAAAATAACCAGGGGGGTCTGTCTGTCGGTCCTCCCCCCGAAAATTTTCAGATTTTACATCTCGCAGGACAACGCAGGACAGGATTTTCATTTTTCAGATTTTTTGAAATAGGGCAATTTCCTTGCTTCCACTTTAATGTCAATTTCCATATTTTACATTTTATAAAAAACTTTTAAAAACTCTGAAATTCTATGGAAATTTCAGTATCCACAAAATGTTGTAATTTATACTAAAATATGCGTTTTAATATGCCAATTAATCCATTTTTAATGAAAATTTGCATATAACATTGCAGATTATATACTGACCTAGCTAGTGCATCCTAGATCTACAGGTATCTACATCTGTGCTACATCCAGCATAACAAAATTCCAAAATCGGTTAAGAAAAATTCCAAATCTGGTCCACCCCTAGTTATCAAGAATACTCTACATAATAGCACAGTTGTAAAATTACAATTACTTTTCCCCTAAAGTAATTAATTACAAATTACGTTCAAAATTACTTAAATAACATAATATTATAATATAATATAATATGCAAATTTGAGCATATTCGATTCATCTATTTTCATATTTGTTCCTCTATGACCAATGTGCAGTCCTGCACACACTGTAAAATTTTTAAATTTTTTTTATTTCAACTTTCTCGACATGTTGCAAATAAACTGAAGGCTCATGTCAGTGAGATTTTGCAGGATCAATGAACATATAAATGTCAATAATAATATATGTTAAAACCGGAAATAATGGTGCAATAAAATTGAGAAGTAGCATGAAGTCAATTCATAAGAATTTTACTCATTACCTGCAAAAAGTAATTAATTATGTTACAAATTATTTTGGCAGAACATGTAATTAATTACCGCAGCAATTACTAAAAAATAATTAGTAATTAGTAAGGCATTACTTATGTAACGAGTATTTACATTTTACAACACTGCATGTTAGTTCTCACTTATAAATTGAACGCTTTGTAGATAAAGTTGATGGTAGTACCATCAACTATTATCTGCAAAGTTTTCAATTATCTCTACAGCTCTTAAATACCAATCAATGCCATGGTTGGTAGATGTCCATACAACTGGAATGTTTCTTTCCAACTCAGCCTGGCAATTTCTGCATAGTATAAGTTCTGGTGGGACCAAGATTGGCCTTTCCCCATTTCGTGACTCTGCACCATCTAAAAACCCTTCAGCCCCATATAAAACTATATCGTTTTCCTCAACTGAAAGTCCTACAGGATTCTGCATTTGACTTGAAAGCCACAAACGGAGCGGACTGGAACCTGTAGTTCGCATACGGTGGTTGGACCAGGCATCCATCCACAATTGTAGCTTGTCATTAATCTTTCCCAAAAAAACGTGGTGTAAAGCTGCAATGTGAACATCATTAAGTGGGTCTAAAATACCTTCATCTTCCATGAAGTAAAACATTTTGTAATAATAAGATAACACACCAGTGAATACGTCTCTCCATAGCCGCTCAATTCTTTGATTATGTGTGCTCTTGCCAGTTATCATACTGCCACGCCCAGAGCCTCTCTTACCAATCATATAATCAGCAATAAACACATTTTCCAATCCCTTGTCAGAGCGCACTCTACTGGGCAAACCAAACTTGTTAACTGCATCCTTGAAATGTTCCAGTAGTGTATTGGCTTTATTGTTATCAGAGCAAGTAAGCACAACAGGTAAGCGACTAAATCCATCTATAGCTCCGAAGATTATCATATGCCAACGAACCAATTTGTGGTTAGTGTCAATGTGCCATAGGTGATTGGCACCCTTCACATTGTATATCCTTCTGTGTAGTCGACCCCTTGATCTGTCCGCAATACCAATTTCATCGATTCGATGTAAGCTTTCCTGTAAGCGAAATCTTTGAACCACAATACCCTTCCCTGCTAACAATTTTGCAATCATACTTTCACCACAGTATGGAAATTCTTGAGTGACGTTAAGAAGTTCTCTGTCTAATTCCCGATTGCTAATACTAGTAAATTCTTGCTTCCTTATGCCATAGAAAGCCATGCGACGGTATACAGTCCTTTCAGGCACCGACAGGAGGAGTGCTATGTCCTTAATTAAAAATCCATCCTCTATTAGATCTTCAATTACGTTCTTGGGCAAATCGTATTTAGGAGCGCCAGCCCCATGATAAATTTTCCCTGGAGGTTCGCATCCATACTTAATACAATGCGTTCTCAACAGCATCATCTGGCTTCTGCACGTTATGCCCAAAGATTCAAGTTCTTGCGCTGAAAGTTTTCCTATAATATCTGGTGTTATCTTTTCTCTCTCAAAATTCTCTAAAACATTAATGTTCCCCATATTTAATTCATTCAAGATGTTTGACATATGCGAAGAATTGAACTGATTAGCAGCCATTTTGAATACGAACCAGTGATTCGAATCGAAATACGCAGTGCTTCCATTGTCCAAAAGGAAAATCTAAGGAAATTCTATGGTCCAAAAGGAAAATCTAAGGAAGAGAAAAAATCTAAGAAAATCTAAGGATTTTTTCCGCAAAACATAAATATTCATCCCAGTGCATTGGTGCAGAAGAAGATTTCACTTTTTTTACATTTTTGAGTGAATTATCATTATTTATCAATGGACCATTTGCATTATAGACTAAATTTCGATCTGGACAAAAATTTGAAAGAGCATCACAAAATTAGTAATATTCCAAAATCCAAAGTTTCGTTGCGAAATGTTGTAAAATGCGGATAATATAGCCATGCGAAGTTTGCCGTTTTTCAGTCATTTTGCCACGCACGGGAAATTGACAGCCCAATCGGGTGTTGGGGCATCAATTTCCCAAAAATGGCCAAAATGACTGAAAATTGCAAATCTCGCAAGGCTATATTATCTGCATTTTACAACATTTCGCAACGAAACTTTGGGATATTACTAATTTTGTGATGCTCTTTCAAGTTGTTATAAAATTTTTGTCTAGATTAAACTTTGGTCTATAATGTTAAATTGTTAATTAAAAATCTGTTTATAAGTTTTTCTTCGTGTTTCCGAAAACTTCCGGAAGTTTTTGGGCGATGGGATTCAGTAACTTTTAGCACCAAACACTGTGAAAAGTTAATTAATTATATCAGACTATCAGTGGAATCGTATATGTTCTAAAATCATAACAAATATTTAATTTTAAACAGTATAATAGCATGTGTTTTTACCTAGCCCACATCTGTGTTAATTGTGCTACTTTGTGCCTTAAAAATTAACTATATATTTTGTATTAGTACAAAATCACTGCAAACTGCTTAATGAAATTTCAAGGTAATTTCAAGGAAATTATCTATACAATCTAAGGAATTTAGAGAAATTTTGATCTCAAAAATGGGAAATTATTATTTTGAAAATGGATGCACTGCCTATACCTGGCATATTATACGTCATGTAACTAACTGTATTAAAAACAAGGCTTCCATTTTGAAGGAAATTTCCTTTTTGAATGAAATTTTAACTACAATCTTTGCCAGAAACTATGGGACAGCTGCTGTAATTTCATATAATTTGAAAGGAATAGCGCCCCCCGTTCCCCCAGTTCAATGTTGGGCCAACAAAAATCTGATGTCTGGATTATGGGGCGCCGTTTGTTCATTTATTATTTAATACAAAAAAGCTTGATTATTTTAATGATTTGTGAAACAATCCAAAAAAAATGGATTGTTTACTAAATAATCCATTTCGGTAAATGGATTATTTTCTATATAATCCATTTAACAAAACGGATTATTTAATAAATAATCCTTCTGCAAAATGATTATTTATCATACAATCCATCTACCGAAATAGATTATTTATATATAATCCAATTACAAATTGGATTATTTAATATATAATCCAATTTGTAATTGGATTATTTAATATATAATCCAATTTGTAATTGGATTATTTAATATATAATCCAATTACAAATTGGATTATTTAATATATAATCCAATTTGTAATTGGATTATTTAATATATAATCCAATTTGTAATTGGATTATTTAATATATAATCCAATTAAATTGGATTATTTAATATATAATCCAATTACAAATTGGATTATTTAATATATAATCCAATTACAAATTGGATTATTTAATATATAATCCTTATACCAAATTGGATTATTTAATATATAATCCATTTACTAAAAATCTGAAATGGATTATTTATCAAACAAGAAATGGATTATTTATACGTTGTACTTCATGTCTCGGCAATTATTACGTTCCTTTCCTATATTTTTCCCGCCATTGAACGTTATTACTATTGCGAGATTCAAAGATGGCCGCAGCAAATTCGGGGCGAATGACTGACCAGGAAATTGACCAGGTAAATAAATAATTCATATTTTTGTGAATAATGTAGCATTATACAACACGTGTTTGTACTTTATACAAACTGCAAATTCTGAGTTTGTCCACCGTTTGCACATGTAAAGTCGCCAACATTTTCTGTTATTTGGAAGCAGGCTTTTAGCCAGGGTCCTGAAAGAGGGCGTCCATTTGGGTATAACAATACTTATACATCTAGTACAGTAAAGGGGGGGGGGGGGGAGGGGTTCGAGAAAACGTTCCTCTGGAAAACCTTTGAAGTTCACGTTTCTTCATGTCATTATTTTTCGAAATCTTTCAAACACACTCGGCTTTGTGAAGAAAATGTTGGCGACTTTGCATGTGCAAACGGTGGACAAACTCAGAATTTGCAGTTTGTATAAAGTACAAACACGTGTTGTATAATGCTACATTATTCACAAAAATATGAATTATTTATTTACCTGGTCAATTTCCTGGTCAGTCATTCGCCCCGAATTTGCTGCGGCCATCTTTGAATCTCGCAATAGTAATAACGTTCAATGGCGGGAAAAATATAGGAAAGGAACGTAATAATTGCCGAGACATGAAGTACAACGTATAAATAATCCATTTCTTGTTTGATAAATAATCCATTACAGATTTTTAGTAAATGGATTATATATTAAATAATCCAATTTGGTATAAGGATTATATATTAAATAATCCAATTACAAATTGGATTATATATTAAATAATCCAATTACAAATTGGATTATATATTAAATAATCCAATTTGTAATTGGATTATATATTAAATAATCCAATTACAAATTGGATTATATATTAAATAATCCAATTACAAATTGGATTATATATTAAATAATCCAATTACAAATTGGATTATATATTAAATAATCCAATTACAAATTGGATTATATATTAAATAATCCAATTACAAATTGGATTATATATTAAATAATCCATTTCGGTAGATGGATTGTATGATAAATAATCATTTTGCAGAAGGATTATTTATTAAATAATCCGTTTTGTTAAATGGATTATATAGAAAATAATCCATTTACCGAAATGGATTATTTAGTAAACAATCCATTTTTTTTGGATTGTTTCACAAATCATTAAAATAATCAAGCTTTTTTGTATTAAATAATAAATGAACAAACGGCGCCCCATACTGGATACGCGGCGCCAACATTGAAACGGGTGGGGGGAGGGAGGGTGGAAAATATGTATCAGGAAATGGTATATTACAACCAAATGCATGTGAAAACTAGATTGTCCCAATCTATATTGTCAAAGATTGTAGTTCAAAAATAAGGAAATTTTCAAGGTTTTGAAGGAAATTATGGTTTTTGAAAATGGAAGCACTGATTAAAAAGGCCGTTTTGTCATTTCTGTGCCACTACTCAGTAGTGAGTACTGACAGCTTTTGATACACAATAACAATAATGACATAAGCACCCAATATAATGACGAAAGCACCCAATATAATGATAAAAGCACCCAATATAATGACGAAAGCACCGCATATAATGATAAAAGCACCCAATATAATGATAAAAGCACCCAATATAATGATAAAAGCACCCAATATAATGACGAAAGCACCCAATGTAATGACATAAGCACCGCACATAATGATAAAAGCACCGCATATAATAAAGGAAACACCCAATATAATGATAAAAGCACCCAATATAATGACGAAAGTACCCAATATAATGACGAACGCACCCAATATAATGAGGAAAGCACCACATATAATGACGAAAGCACCACATATAATGACTAAAGTACCCAATATAATGATAAAAGCACCCAGTATAATGATAAAAGCACCCAATATAATGATAAAAGCACCGAATATAATGACGAAAGCACCCAATATAATGATAAAAGCACCCAATATAATGATAAAAGCACCCAATATAATGACGAAAGGACCGCATATAATGACGAAAGCACCCAATATAATGATAAAAGCACCCAATATAATGATAAAAGCACCCAATATAATGACGAAAGCACCACATATAATGACGAAAGCACCACTACATATAATGACTAAAGTACCCAATATAATGACTAAAGTACCCAATATAATGATAAAAGTACCCAATATAATGACATAAGCACCCAATATAATGACTAAAGCACCCAATATAATGATAAAAGCACCCAATATAATGACGAAAGCACCACATATAATGACGAAAGCACCACATATAATGACTAAAGTACCCAATATAATGATAAAAGCACCCAGTATAATGATAAAAGCACCCAATATAATGACTAAAGCACTGCATATAATGACGAAAGCACCCAATATAATGATAAAAGCACCCAATATAATGACGAAAGTACCCAATATAATGACTAAAGTACCCAATGTAATGACTAAAGCACCGCATATAATGACGAAAGCACCCAATATAATGATAAAAGCACCCAATATAATGACGAAAGCACCGCATATAATGACGAAAGCACCCAATATAATGATAAAAGCACCCAATATAATGACGAAAGCACCGCATATAATGATATGAGCACCGCATATAATGACGAAAACACCCAATATAATGACGAAAGCACCCAATATACATGTAAAAGCACATCATACGAAGAATATTGATAACATAAGGCAGCCATCGCTTTCCATACTTTAACTTCATTTTCATCCAGTTTAACCAAGAATCCCAAATCATTGTAACCTTCGTTTTCAAACTTTTCATAGTATTTTAACCATTCACTAACAGTTTTTGTCGCAGTAGATGTAGATGCAGATGCCATATTAACGAAAACAAAATTTGTCTCTGTGCTGTGGTCATGAAGTACCCTCCAAGGTTTCTAAGCTAGCCGCTGGCATATATTTCGCGATATTTTTGGCGGGAGAATTCTATTTTGTTTTTGAAAACGTTGGTATATTTATAAATATTTATGTTGCTGGAAAAGTTAAGATGGAGAGCTCATGCATAATTCAAACTGAAGAAACTTCAACTCATTCAAAGACTAGCAGAGGTAAGAATGACTGGAGAGCTGACCTTATTTCCCAAGTTCGTGTGTCTCCCCACTTGTTGAAGTCACTTCAACCTTGTACGATCCTTGAAAATGGAAAGGTGCTACAAGAACTGAAAGCTTCATTGAAATCAGTGGCCGAAATCAACAAGATCAATGGGCTTTTAGCTGTGTTAGAACATTTACTTTTGACTAAGATTACGGAAGATGGTAAAGAAGTACCTAACAGTCACCTAAAGTTTGAAGATGCCCTGGAACACTTTCTTGGCTTTGATACCAGTTATGTACCAGGTTCTAAAGACAGTTATGATGTAAAAAGGTTTCAGTATGCCCTGCTTCACCCAAAATGTGGCTTGTGTGTTTCTATATTTAATCCATTATCAAGAGACGGGTACATCATCCTGAGATCAGATGATGTAGACTTTTCAACATTTTTAGTACATTTGAGTACTGATCTTTCCAGTAAATCTATAAATGAAAGCAGATTTCAGCTGAATAAAGAGACAGTCCAGATGCTGCTGAAGTCAATGGACTCTGAATGGGATAAAAAAGTTGTTAGAATTATCCTTGGTGCTGTGTATTCTCTCAAGGAACTTTCAAAACTTGGCATGGATGCTACTAATGTTGCAGCTAATACCTCTCAAGTTTTGGAAATGGCAAAGGAATGCAAGAATGCGCACATTGCTGCAGAAGATATTATAACTCAAAATATCGAGGAACAAATAAAAAGTGCAAAGACTGAAACAGATAAAAAAGAGGCCTTGGTGTTACAAAAACGGGCACACTGGCCAGTAGAGAAAATAACGGAACTTGAAGAGGAAATAAAGAAAGTACAAGACCATGCAAAAGATATGGAGAATCTCCTAACACCTACCACAAAACAGCATCAACAGCAATTCAAAAGGAGGTGCAAGAGAAAAGCTGAATACCTTATTCAGATACATCGAGTAAAAAGGAGGCGCTTAAGCAACCAAGGTTTGGCGTATAATTTTTAAATTTTATTTTGTGTATTAAATTGTAGTAAAAATCCTCGCTTATACTACACCATTGAGAAATAAGTTTGGACTGTAAATTATATTCTATGCATGCAGTATCAAATTTTCTACCTGGATGAGGGAGTATAAAACATGATACAATGGCCCTTTTGACTTCAAAACACTGCATCAAAATAACTACAGAAGTTTAAAGTGCATTATGCATATTTTATATAGCCCTGGGTATGGCAGCCCCTGTTTCTAAATCTCTGCTGACAGTGCTGTGTTTTCAGGAAGACCAAAACTTCTTGATAGTGAAGATGAGCAATTTATTTGCAAGGCAATAGAGGAAAAAGCCACTTACCATGGCCGTCGTTCAGAGCCAACTATGTTCACCAACAGATGAGTTAAAGTCCGAGATCTGGTTGGTATTGCCAATTTCCACCTCACCAAACGAGGTAAACCTACTTTGAAGTCATCAACAACTGTGCTGAACCGGTCAAGACCCAGAAACAAAAGAAGTATACAGGGACGAAAGCATATAGGTTGGTATGAATACATATATTAAGTGGGTTGCTGAATGAAGTACACAAGTGTGTAAAATTTTATTCGCAATTAGAAAATTTGTTGTTTTAGAAAATTACTGGTTTGTATTAAATGTTGGTTTCTTGACACATATTTTAGGGAAGGGGCTGTTTTGCTGTCGTAAGCCACCAAAAACTGAGAAGGCATTAAATGAAAACACCCACTACCAAAGGGGTCACAAAAAGAATGTCGTGATGTCTTTCTTCTCATCAGATAGCAGAACAAAACCAAAGTATTGTTTTGCCCGGAGCATTGATGACAAAGCTTACTTAAGGCCAGGTAATTTTACATTTCTGTTAATTATAGTAAAGTGCTACTGCAATAAAAAACTTATCCATGACGTAGTATATCAGTGAAATATCAAATTTAGATAGATGTCTTTTTGTAGTAGCAGAGCAGTAGTGTTTTGTTCGATAGGAGTTTTAGCTCCTACTTTTTCCACGACATCCATTTTGTCATTGTAAAATAACAATGCAGAACTGTTGTTATTACAATACTTTTTTACTTGTGTCGACCCAGGCACTAGCGAAGGCTTTGGAAACACCAGAAAAACGCGAATACTTACTCCATCTGCTGAGAAAAAAGCGAGAAAGTTGCCCATGTATGACTGGCCGGAGCAAATGGTTTATATAACACCTTCAACTCACCGAATTCTGCACAAAGAAGGTAGGAACAGTAACAATGATCACTTTGGCAGTTTGGCAAGTAGAGCTGGCCCAATACTCCTAGGCCCATACTGTATATGCTTAACCTATTGGTCAACAATTGATTAATAGGCCAACGAAGACTCATACTCATATAAAATAGTTGTCTTCAATGTATTTAAACTATAAAAAGGCTGACAACATTAACTCAAACAACTTACTAAAATGTGAATAAAAATTTAATGGCTGTTCTCAATGAACCAACATTTGGTCGCGGTGTAGCGTGGTAATCGATTGCCGGAAAATGTGATCAATCGTTGAATTAATCGATGCATTGAGTGCAGCTTTAATTTTAAACTACCCTGTAAGTATTAATAAATAAAGTGCTACAGTACATATTTTATTGATTCATACATGACTGTACTTCTTATATTTGAAATTTTATATTAGCTGTCACTGTACAAGGTGAAGAAAAACTCATCAATGAAGATGACACGCACGTTGTGTTCGTTCGACCAAAGGCGTTTGTAGATTCATCCGGTACAACATGGGCCAATGAAACTGAGGAACTGAGAACTAAGCTTCCAGATAAGTTTGAAGTTGCTAACGAGAACGATCCCAAATATTCCGCAGAGTTTAGAGGCACTTGTGCCTGTGTGCATAATGACACAAAACCTTTTGTGGAAATGACAAATGCAGATGACTTAGCAAATGTAACCTCTTGCAAATTTCCTGAAAACCCGTATTGTCAGTACAAGAAAGAGACTCTCACATTTAATGATTTGCTTGGAATCATCCTTGTCTTTGTGTGGTCGCTTCAATCTAAACGAAGGTGAGTTTGATCCCTATAAAGCAATGATACCTATAAAGTTGACTGATATAATTGATACTGCTAAAGCTCTGCATGACAATTTCCCTTCAGAAGCACATCAGGTGCAGCCGAAATACGATGCTCTTTTGAAAAAATGCCATTCTCTTCTTGAGGGGATTGCAGAGCTGAAGTTTCCGCCTGTGAAACCAAGATGGGCGGATTTTACCGACGCTGGACCTGGAGTTGCTTGTAACAATTTCGAAGTACAGTTCAGGGATGCTGAGTTAGCGATTATCCATAACAGTGACTATCGGATCAGACTGCATTCTTCCAGGGGTAATTCGTCTGATAACGAGGCCGAGAGAACTAACAGCGCAATCGGCGACAGTAACGTAGATGGCGCAACACTCCAGTGGAACAAACATAAACGCTTTGATGGACTAAGTAATGAAGATATAAGTAAACTGATGGTGAAAGAGTTCGAAGAACACAGGACGGATAGAATGGAGAAGAATGCGTGGTACTGTGCTAATGAAATTCGCAATAGGGTTGATGGGGCACCAGTGTTTAACAAGTTTATTAAAAGTTATTTAACTCCAAAGCAAAGCCCTTTCTTTTTTAACAAAAATACTTAAAACAATATCAAAGTTGTACTCCCGCTGAGTCAAAACAACAGGTTCCTGGTTACCACTACATAACGAATGTTTTAAACTTTATTGAAAGACACTACAGAATTGGTGAACTATATATGGAATATATAAGGGACGGATGTCGGGAAAATGGAGCGAAAAGGACTGGGTTGGACCCAGGTTCTCCAGAGTTCCTGCCCCGTATCCAGATCCTGAAAAGCCAGGGCATTATATGAGTGTTTTCAACACACCAACCACAGACAATAACGGGCAGTTAAGGGAAGTGGATGCATGATGTCGCTCCCAGGGCAGTGATAAAGCGTGTATATAAAGCTGGCACGATCTCATCGGACAATGTCGAACAACTTAAAGAAGTATACAGTCGCTATTGTGTTGAAGAGAAGGATGTCGCATCATAATGTTAAACACCTTGAAGAGTTGAAAATGATGTCTGCTATCATATCAGGGAAAACGATTCAGGAAAACTAAATTCATTAAAAGTGATGGAACTTGACAAGTACCTTATATTAAGAGACACAACCTGTCCACTATCGGAAAAAAAGAGGATAAAATCAAACAAATTAAAGCAGATTTCTACATAAATAGGACCAACGACGCAGCCATTGATGCAGAAACTTCAGATGATGATACTTTGTCAGGAGATGGTGAATCCGATTCTGACGATGATGAAGTACTTCAGATAATTCCAGAAGGCGATGAAGACGACAATTCAACTGAGGGAATGTCTGAGGATTCTGATGAAGAAATTGCAAATTTGCCAACGATACGCAGCAGAAGAGCAGCTAGTTTTCCACATATAAGATACGAAGACTATTATGTTTATTAACTAGTTAAAATCAGGATAACGCCCAGGTATCTTTAAGATTTTGGATGTAGTTATATATGGGTATTATTAAAATTGAGCAAAGGAAGAAGGGGGGGCTCTTAATTTTTAGGGATACTTACAGGGGGGCTCACAAATTTCAGCGCAATGTTGCGATGGGCTCCTATAAAAATCTTGTAAGCAATACAAAATCTTCACTCCCCCCCCTTGTCATATTAAATGAACATTCCCTTATACATTTAAGTTTTTTTCGTGGGAGGTCATCTGGGATAATATTTGTTAAAATCCTGGTATAAGCTGCAAAATTATATATGGCATGTTGCACATACATTAAACCATAATAAGATAGAGCAAATGTTGCATCATAGGTTTGCAAACAAAAAAAATCAGATAGCAGGAGCCCCTTATTAATTAAAGTTAGGGAATTATGATCTGGTTTTGGGTATTTGATAGATTTAACAATTTTTCATAGTCAGAGGGTGAGACCCGTATTAGGGAGTGGTCATTATTTATGGGGGGGTTGGTAAATGGGGAAAATAAGGATTGAAAACTTTCCCCTCCCCCTCATAAAAGTAGAAACATTTCGTGCCCCCATGTGGATTGAAAAATTAACAGCAATGAAAGAGGTGTGCATTGCAGGTAAAGTTAGATATTAGGACAATCTGTTTAATCCAGCTCATGATGTTTTACCCTTGTGAATATAATTCAACCATATATGATTAAAAGACCTTAAAGTGCCCCCTAATGCTTCAAACTTTTTTTGGCGATATCAAATTTGGCATGATTTCTAGTATTTCAGTGAAAAAAAATTAAATTTGGGCAAACCTTCGATTTTTATGGCGTTTTGAATTCAGCGCTTCGATGGGCCGGTGGTCTAGCCAGTTTTCTTTTGTCATCCAAGGTAGTCGGCATTTAGCCTTGATCAACTTGTATAATTTCAAATTTCCGCCATTTTTGCATTGCTTTAGGGCAATTCCATGTAACGGACATTACAAACTTTGTCAAATTTTATGGAATAGATCACTTTTTTTCTTCACACAAATTGCCATTATGATCTTATTTGGGAACTTTGGAAACTGAAAGTGTATTTAATGTGTCCAATTTATTTTTTCTAAATATATTACTTTGTTTGGTATGTATTTTCAGACGAAGTAGCATAACAGACATTACACCAGAAAAGACATGACAACATTGATACATTTTTTAACAAAATTATCATCACAAATAAGACAATAATTATAACAAAATAAGTTGTTTGTAAATTAGTTAAATATCATCTTCAATGTATTTGTTCAAATTTGGTGATACACAAACTTTAAATAGGATAAATGTAAATTTGTCAAGTAACGGACATTACTAAAAAACTGTAACGGACATTACACTTTTGTCCGTGGTCTTTTACTCATTACTGTATTGACACAAATAGTTCTATGGTACTTAAACCTGCCTAATAACATATTCAAACAACCATAATATATAATACACTAGAAAATAGCTGTTATATTCATTATGGAACCAAATGTTATTTAGGCATAAAACGCTTTGCTTTTCGATAATAACTTTTAACATACTGTACATGCATGAGCATTTTCATCTATGTCAGACTCAGTTGCATGATTTCAGTCTGTTCCCCATCTGCTCTCTAATTCAATGATCCTGTAGGTGCCATGATTGTTGATAGGCTGTGGAAACTTGATGTGCTGTATTATATCTTTTTTCAAGTAATCAATTTCATCTACGTGTTTTGGCCATCTCCAACCACCAGCACACTTCTCGAAGACCTTTATTCTTGCACCCTTACCTTCAGGATAGACAGCTGTAACTTGACCAGGAAACACTGCTCCTTCGTATTTACATATAACAAAATCTTCAACATTTATATGAACAGGATGAAGAGCTACTTGCTGGCATCGGTCGTCATACCATTTGTCCAAATCGGAATCGCTTTCATCAGTTTCAGAATCTTGCTGGGAGACATCATCATTACATTCTTGGCGAGTATACTCCTTGCAAATAATTTTGCCATCCTGCAGAGCTGTTACATAATGCATCTTCTTGATACCTTTAACTGCAGTCGAGGAAGCAAAACTTTCTTCAAGACTAATATCAGCGGAGCAGCTTTTGATGCTTGCAGCTGTCACTGCAATGACTTCCACATGCTGTTCTTTCTTTCTTGCCACTTCACAAAAATCTTCCAGTGAGTTGATAACTGCCCTTCTACTCAAGGTTTCCATCCAGACATTTCTTTTAACTGTACCACCTATCCCATCAACTGCTCCTTTGCCATGGGATGTAGCAAAGAAGTGCCAGGTTAGGGATTCAAGATGGTACAACTCGCGCGATGGTACAACAGCTTTCTTCTTTCTAGGGCTTAAGGGCAACGATTTAGAAGCCCTTGAAACTGCTCTTCCTAGGGATGATCTTGTTGTAAAGGCTGGTTTTTCTGACTCTTCAAAGTTGATTTTCTTCTTTGAACGACATTTTGTGACCCTCTGCCTATTCAGCCTGTTTCTATGTGCTTTTTTTTCAGAGCTAATACCAATTTCTCTTTCCTTCAATCTTTCTGCTTGTTTCCTTGCTTTGTTTTTCTCTAGAATTTCTTCATGTTTCTGTTTATTCTGTTTAGTTCGTTCTCTGTATTCTCTCATACGAGTTCTTGGTGATTTGGGTTTTGCCATCCCATAATAATTTGTGTTTTGTTTGCTTTTGTGTGTGTTTATGTGAACGAATGTTTTAAAACATCATTTTTCCTTAGTAAACCACTCTCCAAGGGCACAGATCACCCAGAAATATTATAGCTGATTCAAATTTGAGGCTTAAAAAGTAATGTCCGTTACGCAATGTCCGTTACGTAATGTCCGTTACGTAACATCCGTTACGTCAAAAATCATGTACAATTGAGACAGAACAGGTAAATAAAGATGGAATTGAGTTGTTTATGATGGATAAAGGAAGATTCCAGGATAAGAGGTTTTTACAATTAATGTAATGGATACATCATAAAAAAATAATTTAGTATGTAACAGACATTACATCACAAATAGTACATTTAATCATCAAAATTGTTACTTTTCTTTCAAAAAACAATAAAAAAAACAAAATTCTAATAGTTAAGTTTAATTTTAACCTTGCATTGAGTTTTATTGCAAGAGAAAGAACATCTAAAGCTTTAACAGACAAGATTAAAGTTGAAGCAAGTTTTACGATTGCAGAGTCACTCACAAGTGCAAAAGGAAAAACAGGGAAAAAATGAAATTTGTAGAAAAATCATGCCAATATAAATATATTGCAAAAAATTCAATAAATGATGATATGATATAATTATGTTCTGATGGAAAATTAACAACCTGAAAATTTTGCATCTAGTGCATTTAAGCATGGAATTGCCCTTTACTTGTCTTCGGTCGAAGTTTTAAAGATTGGGTAATGATTTTCCTCACCATCATGTCTAACTATGAAACAGATTCGGAAGACAGTTATCAGTCTGATGACTCGGATATAAACTTCATTCCGGGATATATAATGAAAACTCTGAACTTGTAAAAAATTCGGACAATGATTCCAGCATTGAGGAATTAAACGTGGGTCTAGCTTATGTCGATGAACCTTTGGCCGATGAAGAGTGGTTGGCAAATTACAACAGGCAAGAAAAAGAACGGTTAGAAATTGAAGAGAAGCTATGTAAAAGGCTAGATGGTTCTGTTCAACTAAGCGAGTGGTAAGTAATATAATAGTAAACAAAGATTAAAAATTATTTGTTTTCGAGTCATGTATTAACTTGTATCTATCCAACTTTCATGTTTTTTTTCCTCGCTTTTCTCACAGGTGCAAGTGTGGGGAACTGTGGCGTTGAACTTCTCACTAATGGCAACGAATGCTACTGCTGCTGTGAGCTTGAATGCTGCAAGGTAGTGATAAAAGACCTCGAAGTCGAAGGTGTACAAAATGCAAAGTGCATCACACAACACCCAGGATTCAATCCCGTATGCTTGCAAAAATGGAGTTAGAAGCAAGCTTCAGACAGATATAAAACAAAAAATAAAGACAAATATAAACTAGAAGTTACTATCACAAAGAAAGTGCTGCCTCATCCCCAATGGATCAAAGCCAGCATGTGCAATTTGCTGAAAAAGGGGCTGTTTATATGATCCTGCTTTGCCAGGATGAGATACGAGGCAGGGTGATTAAAATTTCAATGTATTGAAATAAGTCGTGGTCTACAACATTTCAGTTCTGATAACCAGACCAGCATTTGAACTTTCATTTAGCCAAGTGACTTATTTCAATACTCAAAATCATCCCACCTTCCATATGTAAACAGCCCCTGAATACCAAACACCTTGCACAATGTCGAAGGTCAGGTAAATATTCTATTTCTACTTTGTTGGCATGGGTGATTTTATATGAATACTTTCAATGCTAATAACTTCTTGCTTTTGTATGATCATGTATAATTATAATACTGTCAGTGGTGAAGCTAGCCATAGCAATGTACAGGTCATGCTATGCAAGTTTTTAATTATTTGCATTATAGGTTTATTAGCATAGCATGACCAGTTGCCTTGGCTAGCTTGCCACTGAATACTGAACAATATCATATGTAAACAATAATAATACTTGAATGAATCATTGGACATGTAGAATTTAATAACAATTTCATATATAGAAATAAGTCAGTTTTTGTCCCAATTATCATTTTAATGGCACCTTCAAGGCTATGTTCACAGAACAACTGAATAATCTGCTGATGGGGAGACAAAATCTATTTGTTGACATTTTTTTTTTAATACATCGGCTTCAGATGACACCATTCATTTGTAATGACTAAGATTGTACTCAATCAGAACTGCAAAACTATATAATAGGAAAGAATTTGTGAGCATTATCGAAAAATATGGTATACCCTGAAATGTAGTGACACAGGCACACAACCAGGGTGAATATATATATGAATGTAGGCCGGTAAGATTATTTCATATGATGCTAACAATGGACATATCTCAGAGATATATTTTTACAGACTGCCATACCTTGTACAAAAATCGGTTGACATGTTATATTAATACATGTAGGCTATTAATTAAACTGCTGGTAAGTTAATATATGCAGACAACAATCCACACTGTCGGCTGTTGCTGGGTTATTAACTGCATGGGTTGCCTGGTTGCTATAGGAAATATCTTTACATTATAAAGCATACACAACATTCAGCATTTGTTTTTAAAGTGTTCTGAAAGGAAATTGTTATGTCTGTGAACATCTAGAATGAACACTAAACTCATTGCATTGGCACATCGCCACACAAACAAATATAAAACCAAAAGTACATCATTTTGACTCCTATAAAATATATTAAAAAGATGATCTATTGTTTCAAATACCTCATATCGAATGCTAAACATCAGATTTAAATATAAATGCCTTCATGTAATATCACCAGAAAGAAATGAAGCTATCCTTAACTGACCTATTCAAAATATTGTCGATTTGTGAAAATCCAACATATATCATGCGAGCGCAATACAAAATAAATTTTGACCGCCCCCCCCCCCCGTTTAAAAAACTTCCTGAAGCCTTAATTATTTCCCCAGAATTACGACATCTTTACAAACAGACAGACTCAAATCGAAATTTCGATCGAGTATACATAACTCGGCCAAAGAGACTGGACACAAGTAAACGCAGACACGCAGTACTTCATGTTAAGAATAGTGTGCTGCCACAAATAAAAACACAGGAAAGGTTAGATAATTAAACTTACATTGTTATTAAAATTGTCAGTTATATTTGTCACATAACAGTTTATATACTGCATAATTACAATATAGTGCAACTCCTCTCTCCTCCGCAGAGGCTTTAGTTTTCTTAGGATTTAATATTACGATGAGATACATTTCACTACACTTTACATGGCGGATCTTGAAACACGAGCGTAGCCGCTGGGCGAAGGAGCGCAGGCGGCAAAGGGAAGGCGAAGGAAGGCGCGAAGCCTCTGCACGATTTGCATCGCAAAGTGGGACAAAGTGGGACAAAGTGGGACAAAGTGTAAACATCGAAACAAAAGGTGATTTTAAGCTAAACAAGAAACGTCTTTTTGAAAATTAAATCATTATTTAATGCATGATTGATTGACCTCATTGACTAGTGCTTGCATGTTTGTGGATGGTCAAAAGTAATATTTTTTAATATTTAATACACAAAGAAAACAATCGTATATTTTACTCACCGCTTGGCCAAACATTCTGTATTTCGTATCGAGAAAAACTTGAATATTTCTTGAACTCTTCGGAATTCGCCACCAGTCAAAGAAGTAAAATACTCCTTGTATTCAAGCGCTTTCGTGTAGAAAATTTCTTTTGAATACGGCCAGTAGAAATATTTATTTTTAATTTTTCAAAATATCGGGTTTTTACTCGCACAGTCGCACACACCTGTCACACACTGATGTTCGGGAATTAGTTCACAATCACACCAGGAATGGAAATACCATAATAAAAGATGAACTTTTCAAGATACAAGCTCAAAAATAACACTCGAAGTAGTGTTTTGAATTCGCTTTCGAACAAGAGTAATACAAAGAGAATGCGTCCCAAGGAGCCGAAGTTATGTTCGCCGAAAGGTATGCCTAGTTTATATTTATCAAGTGTAAACATTGCGTGATTTGATATTAATATACAAAATCCCGCTTGACTTTCAAAGGTCATAAATCGCTATAGTGTTGACATTTCACTAAAACTATCGATAGAAACTAGGATATATTTTTGTACTGAATCGAACGGTGGTATTTTCATCTACATAGCGTATATTGAACCAAAGATACGAACCTCCAAATAAATCAGGTCGAAACCGACTGAAGGTCATGTTTGTTTATAAATATTGCGGAAGTTGAAATAGTTGGATTGCATTTTCAGTCTTGATAATAAATTTTATAATGGTTCTGTATGCTATACATACTCATATTTTTCTTTTATGCGGTTTTGGACACATTTCTAAAAATACAAATGTCAAATATAAATTTAAATAAAAGTTTCTTCACTTGCAACCAAAACCTGTTCGCTAAATACGTTGTTTTCATGCATTGTTTTCCAGTTATATTGTAGATGGAGACCTTGTCTAGAAAAAATGTAGACTGAACATAACACTTTCTTATTTCGTAGAGCTAGTAAATAATCTCTTTGTCAGCTTGTTGCTGTATTGCAAAGAGATATTTTCTCAGTCATTTTGACTTGAATTTTGTGTTTGATAATTATACGCCCCCCCCCCGGTTTACCGCCATATTGGGTGTGGCAACGTGCAGAGGCTTTGTGCCTTCATATCCCAATTAAAGCCTCTGCGGAGGAGAGAGGTGCAACTCTATTCAAGTTTACTTTATGCAGATAATCTAAATATGTATGCCTTAGCCCCTATTTGTCTAGACCCTGCTTAAAAAGCTGTGCTGAGTGGTTATATTTATTTACTAACTTTATTAAAATATAACCACTCAGCACAGCCTTTTCACATTGGTACTACCCCACACTGGTACAGACAGTTTTATTATACAGGGTGTATAAAAAAAAGGTAATCGAATTTCAGCGAGCTATTGGATCTGAATTACTCTGCGTATGAACGAGATTTTTTCGCATTCAGAAAGATCATGCTTTTAGCTGTTGAATGATATCTTCTTCATGCCAAATGGATAAAAACTGAGCAAATACGAATCCAATAAAAAATGTTAGTCAGAATCGCATATTTTCACCGTTGAGAGTTGGGTCTAAAACCATTGAAAATGAACTCCCTTTGGTACTTAAGTTGATGAATTTCACTTCAATAAACGATGCACATATTCATAATTATTATTAAGTAGGAATAAATCTTAGCTAAGCCAAGACACGTTCGTGATTAATTGCTTTTTCTTTTGTTATGCATTGTTTTAATTAGGCACAGAGGTGAAAATATGTGATTTTGACTAACATTTTTAATCGGCCTCGTACATGCTTATTTTTTCTCCACTTGGCATGAAAAGCATGTCACTCAATAGCTAAAAGCCTGATCTTTCCGAATATGAAAACCAATTGTTCATACGCCACGTCCTAATTATGCATTCAGTATAAAGTTTTATTTAATTGACCGGGAAAAGCAAGACAAACGTTTGTTCTTTTCTCGTTCAATTTTTAACCAAATTCAACCAAATTGTAATCAGTTCTTCCTTGGCCGATGGGAAATGCACTCACAAAATTTCGTACGGATATGTTTGGTATTTCTTGAGTTATCGTGCTCACAGACAAACACACACACATACACACACACACACATACACACACACACATACACACACACATACACACACACATACACACACACATACAAACCCAGATGATTACATAACCTCCTGGCGGAGGTAATTACACAACCAAGGTAGCTTTCATATAACTAATTTTAGGTTGAGGGAAGGAACAGATTCTGGCTACAAACTTAGCTAGCCTTGCTTGTTTGTTTGTTTGTTTGTTTGTGAAGAAAGCACTGTAGCTTAATGTACCAGTAACAACACAAAGACAACAAGTCAGTTTGATATCAATCCACAAACTTGTTTAGATAGAAATAATTTTTTAAAATTAAACATGCTGATATATAATATTATATGAACTAATGCAACAAACTAGTGTGTACATTGTGGTACTCTATTTACAGGAACAGGAAGCTTGGGATCGATAGGGATTTATATACCTGAAAATACAAGCAAAACTTCAACATTTCAAGGGAAGGCCCTTCGTCTGGACGTTAGTAGCCAACTTCTAGACAAACCTGCCTTTGCTCTTCAGGTAGTTGCTCCATACAAAGCTTCCTGTTGTTATTATCACTGGCACACACTGCTCAAGATATTATTTACAGGAAATATATATTCTACATCAGAATGACCTTGAACCCTTGAAATACAATGAAACCTTGAATGACTGTCTGACCAGTGTTTTTATTTATTTTTCGGACAGTCTACAACATTTTTGTGCCCCTTCATGGGATGTCCTCATGACCTGCATCCTTATTTTTTCTTGCATCTGTCTCTCTCATCAGTTGTTCTTGATGTTGCAATACTGTAAAGGTAGAAGAAATAAAAGGTAAACTAATTATAGGGTATTAGCACCTAACACTTTCCCCTTGAGGCCTTGACAAATAAAATCATCTGGCATCAGGGCTGGGGGGAAGGGGGGGGGGGTTTTGTTGGGCCCCCAGTAATTTTTTTGGGCGAAATATTTCCATACAAACAACAATATATTTGTTTTTTGGCGAAAGTACCGAAATTTGGTATTAGGGATTGAGGTAAAGTGTCTGTTTTCCCTAAAAAGTTGGGGGGAGGTTGAATTTTTTCCGGAACAATTTTGAAATAGGGCCCCCTAAAAAACTGTCCTGGGCCCCCACCAAGCTTTCGGCAGCCCTGTCTGGCATTAGAGTAAAATAACAAACAGATGTGCTCTCAAGGTTTTGGGCAAAGTTCCTTTGTTAGAAGAGTTAGTAGGCAATCATGGCAAAACAATGACCAATGAGAATACGATTGATTGAAAAGTGTTCAGAGATCAAATTTGGAAATAATTATTAGCTGGAGTAGTGGATGGAACATATTGAATGACAATTTGACTCCGGTCAGATCTCTTTCAATGCTTCTCTCTTTGTTTGCTTGGAGAGCATTGTGTTCATTGGGGGTGGGCAAACAAGGGGGAATTTCGTTTTCGACCAATCAGCGCATTTGTTTACATTTTAGCTCTAAGCCAATCAGATCGCGTGAATCGCGATTTTTATAGAAAATACATAGGTGAACATAGGTGGTCACTTTCAAGCTACTCTGCAAGCGGATATTTAATATTTTTCTATGAAATTTATATATGTTGTTCTTGTAAGATTTCTCTTCAAATTCCTCGTGGCGATTTTTTATTTATGGCGTTGTTACGAAGTTATCGACCTTCAAACTTTGCCGTGCACAAGCTTAAATATTAATGCACTTCGATTTACAAAACCACGAACGAAATCGCCTCGCAAGCATTTTAAATTAGTTATTTCCTCTTGATTTGCAACTATGATTTTGAACAAGCATAGGAACGATATATTTTCAATGTAACTTCAATCAAATAGTCTACCAGCGTCGCTTAATCCACACGCTAATGAATTAAAAAAAAAAAATTAGAACGTTTTATTTTCCCGCCCGCGCGAAACTTTTTTCATTCGAAACAGAAAACGCTTTCAAAGTTCGTAGCTATTCCATCTTTTTATTAGCTCCCGGTAAAATGCCTAAGTTTGCAAATATTTGTAATAATCCTTTTCATGATGAGTGGTCAGATGGTTTTGAAGGCTCTTCTAGAATTGTCAATTTGAGAGCGTACAACCTCGATGAATTTGCACGGGCATTTGCAAAATTTTCATCTGATGAAAAAAATTGTGAAGTCACACCGAAAAAGATCAACCAAATTTGCAAAAATTGTCTTCAGCAGTGCCTCAAAAAGAAGAACTTTATTAGGTATTTACCTCAACTACCATCTACTGACGAGATTGAAAGGAAGGTAAGCTACAATTTTGTGCTACAATTTTACAAAATTGTATTGTTATTCTTCGCTACTACATAACTAAAGTTTTGTATATATTAAACCTGTATGAACAAAATTTATAAGTACTTACTACTGTAATATAAGTGTCTGAAAAGCACCCAAACAGTAATAATAATACAGTAATGACATATGATAAAAGGCCTCAAAGTTATAGGAAGTATTATGATTGTCTATGTCAATATTACCTAGGCAAACTTGCAAATGTTGTAATCTGATGTTTTGCCCAAACATAAAGGAGTTACATCACACTCTGATAATTTTGCAGAATGAATGTCACTGAGTTTCAGCCATTCCCCTAGATCTACTGTTATAATTAGGGCAAGTATTCCAAAATTCAAATTAATATAGATTGAAGATATATCAACATTTTTGAGAAGTGAACCAGATCAAGCAGAAGATGAAGGTCCTGCACCTCCAAATCCTCCTGTTGCTCAGCCATCCTGCAGCCAAGACACCGAGTCTACCATAACATTGAGTTGTCCAAGTCAAGACTCTGTGGCCTCTGATGAAGTGATTCCGATGAGGGCTAGTGTCGAATGCCAGACCGATGAGGTTATTTTCATGTCCAAAGAAGACTATGAAAAACTTGTTTGCAAAGCTGCTGAGGTCATAGATATCAAAGGTGACCTGGAAAAATTAAAAACATTCTTCCTCACTTGTGACCCACAACCCCCCGTGATGGATCCAGATCAATTCCAAGATATTTGTATACAAGCTGGTGCTGCTAACCTATTTTCAACCCTCTACAATGCAATGAGTTCAGATCGGATGTCAGAAGACCATCAAGAATTAACAAAGCTCAACGTTATGGTTGTCATTTACATATTGATATGCTCACAGTCGCAACGAGCCAATTGGTTCCAAATATCCCTTGCAAGAACACTTCAGCAATTTGGAATAAGCCAGCAAGGTTTGGCATCCCTCCGCAACTTGGGAATTGTAGCACATCCACGTACCATCAAAGCAACTATGCAAGCCTCATCAGCATCCCACATTGATAGAGTGAAGGCATTTTTTCACACTGTAATAGAAAATGAACAATTTATTATATTTTGTATCGATGACTACCACAACATTCACACTAAACATCGTCCTGAAACCAAAGTCCAAACCCAGTCAGTTCACACATCTACCCTTCTAGTTAAAGTTTTTCCAAATATCAAAACTATGCCTAACAATCCACTGCAACCATTGTTACCAGTCAATCCAGTAGAAGATAGTTTGTTGAAGATGTTCATAGATGAAAACATGAGCGAGTTTTCCAAAACCTATGCAAGCAACATGCCAGACTGGGTGGTAGCAAAGTATTTTGATCCTGAGGCAGAAAGGCATAGGCTAGCAATTCATGATTACCAACAAACTGAAATCAGACAGATGCGATGCATGGATAATACTAAGCTTGTTGACAGTCTGAAACTACCCTTGAAATCTTACAATGACCTACTCATTGCTTTTAATCACATGCTAGCTAATGGCTTGGAAGACTATCTCACCCACTTTGCAGCTCCCTTTCCTGGGGATTGGCCCATGCAGTTTTTCATGCGACAACTAGTGTACAACACAGCATCAGTATCTTTGCCCATGGTCTGCAAGAATATTGTTCCAATGATTGGTCCTTTGCATATATCATTAAACTCCAGAGAGTGTGTGTTACTAAATTTCCACCCAATTTTTGCAGATCTATATTCCTTCCTCTTTGGAGCAAAGGCAAAGCTAGCAAAGAAACCAAAACCATGGCGAATTTCCTTACTTCTTGAAGTAATCTATGGAGGTTGGACACTTGTTCGAGATAGTATCATGTCGGTCTTCTCAAATTGCAAGGATATTGAATTTCTGACATTTATCAACCTAATTGACAATTATGTACCACTAGTCTTGAGCATATACTCTATTGTCTTTAAATGTAGCAACTACGATCTCTACTGCAAATCACTTTTTCGCTGCTGGATAATGATGATGGTATTTTGTCGCAGGCATTACGACAAAGCTCTACTGGTAGCTCTTTCCACCCTTAAATATTGGGATGATAATAATCACCCCATGCACCAAATTGTCCAGCAGTTCCTGGCAGCCTTTGACGAGTATCCTGTGGAAAATTTCCACTCAGTGCTTCGAGCCAGAACCAATGAGACAGATACGGCTGAACAGATACGTGAGAAGGCCAAAGAGATTGATGCCTGCAAAAAAGAACTGCATGAGTTTCAGTCGTCATTTGTGCCCCCAAGGAAATTCAACTTCAGTAAGAAGCGCATTGACAACCTCAAAGCAAGAGCTGCAGAATTCCTGGTCAACAAGTTCGAAGTTATCCACTCCCACCCCGGTATGGCATCCCAACAACCCAGGCAGCGCAGACAGAAAAAAAAATTACAAAATGGCTCTTACCAAATTTATTCGGCAATCAAGTAGTGACCAACAAAGTTCTCCCACTTGGATTTTCTTCTGTGGAAAAATGACCTAATCCAGATAGGTAAGTTGGCTAAATTAGTAACACCCTACTCCAACTGACCACAATCAAGTTGTATATTTTGATTGATTCATGTTAACCAGTTCCAGCCTAAAATAGTATCCATCTTTAGTTTTAAAACATTCATTATTAATTTCGATGTTTGGAAAGATCTTAAACTCTTGACTTAAACTTTGATTTTGAATGCAAAATTATGTTATAATCATATGTCAATATGTCATATGTTATAATCATCAAAATGCCGTTTGACAGAATTGAACAAGTATTGGCAGATTGGCAGTGGCAAATAAGTTAAAAATCATCGAAAATAATAAATTCCATACCTTTAATTCTCTTAAAACAGAAGATGCGACAACCTCCAGTGCAATCGCCAAAGCATGTTATGGCGCGTCTTTCAAGGTTGTGGTCATTCATTCCACATTCAGTGCACTCTTCCCGATATTAGTGTCTGCCAGATTTGTAAAAATCTCTTGACAACGAAGGTTTCTTCACTTGGCAAAACGGCAAACGAAGCAGTCCACCATTTCGATCCAAGTGCTGTTCAAGAATCGGTTGCAAACTCGAGCGACGAAGACGAAGACAGGGATAATAGTGAGATGCAAGATCAAGATGCAGACGACGAAGAACTTATCGAAACGACGAACACACAAACTGTCCTTGAGGTGAATGTGAATGCTTGGCGAAGGTTCGAGGGACCACAATCGTAATGTTTGGTAAGTTATTCGCTTTCTTTTACAAAATAAAGTCGAGAATAATCTGCTCTTAGATACGGCGCCGTCCATGCCCATGGTCATGTTGTTCAGCAAGAAATGACATGTCAATGATTTCATATGTCAAGTATTTGTCCCTGCCCGGAAACGGGCCGTATATTTGTAAACAGGATATTAATAAATTATGTTTAAGCGCTTTTTAAACGTAACTTTTATATAACTCGCTTTTAGTGATACAATAATTCGTTCATGGTTTTGTAAATCGAAGTGCATTAATATTTAAGCTTGTGCACGGCAAAGTTTGAAGGTCGATAACTTCGTAACAACGCCATAAATAAAAAATCGCCACGAGGAATTTGAAGAGAAATCTTACAAGTACAACATATATAAATTTCATGGAAAAATATTAAAAATCCTCTTGCAGAGTAGCTTGAAAGTGACCACCTATGTTCACCTATGTATTTTCTATAAAAATCGCGATTCACGCGATCTGATTGGCTTAGAGCTAAAATGTAAACAAATGCGCTGATTGGTCGAAAACGAAATTCCCCCTTGTTGGGTGGGCACATTTCTTTCAGCTTTACAGCTGCATCTTTCAGGTCCGCTTTGCTATTCAATTTGAATGTCTCATATATTTCTTGTATATATGCTGAAAGAAGAGGTGTGATGTAATAAATAAATGAAAGGGACACGATTGCTATGTGCACATAAACAAAAACTTACCAAAGTTCTGTGCAACTCTAACATTCCGAACTGTTGCCTCACCATTCTTGAATTTTGGATAGCTGATCTTCACTATTTCAGAATCATCTGAATAGTTTCTTTTCATTTCTCTTCAGAGGTTGAAATTAAAATGAATGACAGCTAGAATATGCCTACAAAACCACAACAGGACAATTACTTTATTGTCTTCCTGTAATTTGCTATCTTCCTGTAATTAGCTTTACTGATGAAATAGAGAATTATAGAACAACTTATAATAGAGTATAAATATGACTTTAGTTAAGTTTCTAACCTGCAGTATCGTCCAACATAACAGTATGCAATCATCTTTGTGCAAAGTGATTTAACACGCTATGGAAGCCCTCTAAGCAGCTTGTCTGTGCTAACAGAGACGCTTTGTTGATCCCTTTCATCAGTTGTGTGTTTGTCAGTGCAGTACAAACTTTCTTATGAAGTGGTGAATCTATAGAAAAAAACATGAACTGCATCAGATATCTATTCATGCATGTACTGTAGTAGAGTGATCCTGGATAATAGAGTTTAGATAGGTCTGATGGGCCTTCCAACCACAACTCCAACTGAATTTGGAACTGGTTACATTTTACCTGCATAATAATAAGTACTTTTGGCCATGCACATACTTCAATAACATACCAATGGTCAGCCACTTTCTAGCTTCAATGTCACTGCCATGGGCACATTTATCAAACAGGGGATCACTCTGACCTGAATGGATGTTCACAAAGTGCCTCAAAAAGGACTTGAACTTAGCCCATATAACCAGCCCGTTTCCACTGAATGTCGAGGTGGCACTCCAGTGCAGGTGGTTTTCACATGGTTTGATCCACTCATTTACTACTGCCTCACAGTCTTTCTCTTTGGCTATTTTTGAAAGCACCTTCCAAATTTCTGTGAGAAAAAAATGAATACAAAATGCAGGAAAATAAACAGATGCCCCTCTGATATCCTGTGTGCGTTTTCATATATACAATAATAATATATAGTGCATATTGCATAATATATTACATCATTAGTTATTCAGTAATGTTTATAGTTCAGTGGGCTCTGATTATTCTCTGATATAAGAGGCCTGGACACTAGCTTTGCTCACTTGTTATTGTTGTGTGCATTTTCTCATTATTTTGGTAATTTGTGAGTGCGTGACAGCATGAGAACTTAATTAATGAAATGGATGAGCTACAATGAGTCATATCTATGATGATAAAGTCAAGAATAAAAAGTAAACAAAGCTAATGTCCAGGCCTCTTGTAATGAGAGCCCACAAATAATAAGCATGTGCATTACAGAGCAAATTGTACATGTGGTGGGTAGGAATTGCTCTTACTTTTCTTCAAGTGCCAGATGTCAAAATAATGGACAATGTTCTTCAGGACTGTCCGCATGTGCTTTGCAATGGAAGTGTCTGATATAAATGTTGTTATGGTAAGGCCATATGCCTTGAGTGAAAAACAGAGCTGCAATAAGTACATCGATCAATTCACTGGTGAGTGTAAGAACTTTATATATCATCATTTTCTGATTGCATAATGCAGATTCTAATAAGCAGCCTGTAAAATAATTCCTACTGTACCTGTACAAGATTGAAATGTATGATTTGTGCAAACGTACAACAAAAAATTGTATATTGCACAAAACTTGGCCAAATGTCCCATGCTGCCATGGCGACCATCCCCTGCTATCACTACACCATCTTTCACTTGTTTAGCCTTCTCCATCAACATTGCCTGGTAGTTCTTTCCAGTGTAGATAGATGGTTGGAAATTCACAGTCTAAAACATAATTTAAATTACTTCAGATATATTTTAAACCAACACTCTCATGATCAGGGCAAATTTCAAGCAATTCTGCAATACTCCCAAACTATTCACTGAAAAGGGTTGAGTGAAAAGTGCAACCATAATGTACTAGATAAATAAGTCTGTTTAGCATATACTGTACTTACTCTCTGATAATGGAAGTATGTATTATGTGAAATACATCCAAGACCCATGTGCAGAAATATTTGCCATAATTTAGTGTAAGAGCCACCACCAAGTAAAACTGCCATACACAAAAGGAAATTACCAGCAGGTGTTCTACGTCCAGGCATTCTAGGTTGGCTATGCCAAATTGCAGTCTTCTGTGGGCACTTTGGGTTGTTGCATGTAGTGGTGACAACTGCTTCAGTTCCATGTAGTTACTAAAACATGGAACGAGCCACAACGACCCACTATGACCCCACAACGACCCCACAATGATCCACAACGACCCACTATGACCCAACAACGACCCACTATGACCCAACAACGACTCACAACGACCCACAACGAGCCCACAATGATCCACAACGACCCCACTACGACCCGACAACGATCCCAAAATTACCTTCAGTTGCAATTTTGCATGACAATAAACAATATAAGTTATTGTTTGTGGATACACCACATATTTTATTATTTCATGTGATCAAAATTGGCAGGAAATGCAAGACTTCCACTTGCGCATGCAGAGATTGTTGTTGGATTGTTGTGAACTTGTGGATTGTTGTGGCTGGTGTTTTGGTCTTCGTGGCTCATCGTGGGCTCGTTGTGGGTTGTTGTGGGGTCGTAGTGGATCGTTGTGGGGTCGTTGTGGGTCGTAGTGGGTCGTTGTGGGGTCGTTGTGGGTTGTAGTGGCTCGTTGTGGCTTTTGAAATCTTCTCCGATTTTCAACGAAATTGAATCTGGGCATGTACTACCTAATTGTGAGATGAATTTACCAGGTTGTGGAAATATTCCACTTGGAATGGTAGGAGACAGTGCTTTTCCAGCACGCTCATGATTGATGAAAGATTTTGATGATACCACAAAAAACCGAAAAGAATGAAATTTTAACAAACACTTAAGAGCTGCAAGAGTAGTTTCAGAGCATGCCTATGCCATGTTAAAAGGGAGATGGCGCATTATATATAAGAAAACTGAATGTCGCAGAAGGAATGTAACCACAATAATCATGGCATGTATCACATTACATAATATCTGTATTAAAAGGGCAGACCCTTGTCTTCCTCGCTGGCAGCTGGAGATTCAAAAGTTGGAACTAATATGCAAACCTACGAAGCGATCTGAAGATAAAGCTCTGAGTAATAAAGTGTGTGACATAATCAAAGAATGGTTATGGTCTTTAAAATCAGAGTGAACTCTAAGCTTATATTGTGCATACTGTAATAACCTAAATCTAAATTGTTGTTTACATTGCTATGGCTCCTCCAAGTTATGTCTATGAGTGTTGAACACTCTCTCAATTATCATTGTTGTGTTGTTATTCTCCATCCTGGAAGGTTCTTCAAAAACTTGTTTCATTGTCAAGAAAAGCTGTAATAATGTTTAAAGGAATGTTGACCATTTCAAACAATCACATGTTAACTAAGGTGCCATTCACAAAGAATGGCCGGCCAAATAATGGATTTTCAGACCTCCCCTCCCCCCCTGTCCGGCATTGTCAGAGTTAGTTAACCCCCCAGACATCCGCCATGCCTCGCAAAAACCCGCGCAACCTTGATATGTCAAGAGTAAAAAAGCTTTTCTTACTTTTAGCACTTTTTTATAACTATAAATGTGAATACAAAGAGTTATAAAATGCAGAAAGCTATTATTTCATGGTTGAATTGGAAGGCTTGAATTAGATAATATTATAAAGTGTTCAAAATGTTCAAACCAATTTCACAATGGGAAGGAAAGTTCAAAATAAAGGAAAAAGAAATTTGTTTTTGAATTTTTTAAAATCGACCAATTTCTCTAACTTGCATTTGTTCAAAAGGTTTATCGACCAATCGTAGGCTTATCGACCAATTTCTCTTACTTGCATCCTATGTAAAGTGTATGAAAAGCTTTTGTTTAAACATCTGTACAGTCATGTTAAGGGATTTATTAGAGGGAAGTCTTGTCTCTCTAACTTGTTGGAATCACTACAATATATTACCACGTTTTTGGATAGTGAAGATCCTGTTGATCTTATATATTTGGATTTTCAAAAAGCTTTTGATAAGGTTGCACACTAAAGATTGTTGTTAAAGTTAGAAAGTTACGGAATTACTGGGCAGGTTCATGACATTATAAGGAACTTCCTGACAGGTAGATCAATGGCAGTATGTGTGGGAGATCATATTTCATCATGGGAGCCTGTTACTTCTGGAGTCCCCCAAGGGTCTGTTTTGGGACCCTTGTTATTTATATTATTTATTAATGATATGCCACAAGTTACTAAATTTAATACTGTGCTTTTCGCTGATGATTCCAAAGTTATTGGTAATGCATATTATCCGGAAGATATTCAAACAGACATTGACTGTCTCAGTAGGTGGTCAGAAATATGGCAGATGAAATTTAATGTGGAAAAG